AATGTTTGGTACAACCTTGGCACCGGATATGTTAATGGTTAGGAAAACAATAAGAGAGAAAATTTAATTTAATTTCTTAATCCTGTTCACGATCAAGTAAATCACTGTAATCATCAACTGTTAATGTTTCGCGATTTAATTAACAGTAAAACAATTTACGCTCAAAAAAGTTTCAACGGAAAGTAAAAGTTTTCAAGGTAAACAAGTAAATCTTCAAGAATATTTATCACTACATGTTTCTGATTCAATCATTTACCTTTGGTCAATTTTCCTTAATTGTTGGACAATAAGGTGACACATATTATTAGCATTTGAACCGTTAACACATTGACCTTGGTCTTTACCTGGCAAACCTTAAATATCCTTTTAATAGTATATGTTACCTTTTGCCCGTTTACCTTAAGGGTGACAGTGGGTTAATCAAGATCATCGGGTTACTCTTATCAAAGCATAAAGATCAAAGTTGCTTGAAATAATTTTCCTATGTAAAAGATATTGTAAATACATGATGATGATTCCAAGGTGTGTCTCAGGTACATTGTGACATCATCATTGGTGTGTCAGATGAACGGTACACATACAATGCGACAACATGTTAAATTGTTAAGGTTAAGGTATCAGGTCATTTGTAAATTGTCAAAGGTGTGGCTTTAAGATGCTGATTTTCATCTAGAAGTTTTTTCTTAGGTACTTTTGTGTGTTTAGAGGTGGTGGTGGTGTCGATGATGATGATGATGATGATGGCGATGGTGTTGTTGTTGATGGTGGTGGTATGTTGGTGTAAAATGAAGGAGGGAAAGAGGGTGCTGATGATGAGAAATAGAGGCGACCATTGTTATTATCCACTCTCTATGTAAATCACACCTTCTTTTTCATTCAACTCCCCCTTCAATTGTTAAGGTAACATTGGGAATTTTATTCTCTCTCTTCTTATGTTCAAAAATAGATGATGAGGAATATTTATATTTCATAGAGATGATAAAAAAATATTCTCTTTGTCATCTTCACTCTCACTCTCTCTTTTTTTCTCTCCTTTTCATCTTCTTTTTTCTCCAACGTCTTATGTTATTATTATTATTTCCTTTTGTACTTTTATTTGCTTCGTTTTCTTTTTTCTTCTTCGATTTCAACTTGGATTTTAGGTCCAGGGTTGGGCTCAGTTTCTGTGTTACAAAACCAGGCCCATCATCGTCTTAACGCTTTCGTGCAAGGTGAATGAGCTTCTGTGCAAAAGTCTCTCCCTTAACGGAACATCTTCCATAATCATCTTCATTTGCATCTTCTCACCCTCTCCCTCCTTCAACTAAATCATCATCATCATCATCTCTCTCTCTTTCTCTATCATCATTATCATCCATAGTGTACCTTTTTTTTACTCTGTTCATCGTAATCATCACTATCCAAATGCCGGATGTTGATGGAAAAAATTTTCGGTCATTTTTATTACTCTTCAATTCATTTTCCGCTAATAAAACAATTAAATTGCAAACACTAACGATGTAATTAACTGATAGGATTCAATGATTTATGTATTTGAATGAATGTTAATGGCTAAGAGATAATGAAACAAACAATAAGTTCAATATTAAATATTAATACAAACTGAATATTGATACAGTATCAGAATCTAATTGTAACAATCAAATTACGATTATAATGTAAATTGACTAACATTTAAGAAGATGAAGATTAATAATAATAAGATGGGAGATGAAAATTTTACATAGAAATCAACAATTTACCTAATGTAAGGTGTGTCCCTATTGTTACCTGAGTTTTTTCATTTGTATCTAACGGAAAATAATATCAAAAAAAGAGACCTAACCTACTACCTGTACTTATATGTACCGTTGGTGACCGACTAACCCAAACTTTATATTGTTATAATCAAGTTAATCATGAAGAGCACAAGTAATATAACATAAAAAAGCAACAATTTAGCTCCTTTGGATGATTAATAAAAACTGTTCACCAATAATGTGACAAGAAATCAAATCAACTTATGCTGGGAACATAAACTTTCAATAAGACGGACACAAAACTATTTGGCCTACATTTTGACCTAACGGTGATGAGTCTAATGATTGACCTTAGACGAGAAGCATTTGAATATGACAATAATGATAATAACTAAATCTCAAAGTGGGTGAGGTTACAATTGATGGCGAAATTGTAAAGTGAGAAATCACCTTATCCCACCGACTCCTTAGCCACCACCTTATCCACCTTAACCACCACCACCACCATCGCTAGTTACACAATCAAATTGATCAATTGTCTTCAATTTCCTCACTTTTACTTTTATCAACATCGATTTCTCCCTCTCTCAATGATGAAAAAGATGAGGATCAAGAGGAAGATGCAAAAAAGTGAAAGTTTCATCTCATCTTTTGTCGAAGAAAAAAAAACTTTCTTTTACTTTTCTCCTCTTCTTCTCTCTCTTTCTTCTATTCTTCTTCTTATTTATCATCCTCATCATCTACGAAAAGATGAAAAGATTCCCCTAACACCCATAACAATAGTTCATTACTTCCCCTCTCATCTTTATCATCCTCTCCCTCTCTCTCTCTCCTACTTACCTGACCCTCTACCCTCAATACCTTTGGGATATTTATGGATTCGTTTTTATTTCGAAATCAATAAATACCTTTAGACATGAGAACGGGATTTTATCAGAAGAGGAGGAGGAGGAGGTGATGATGATGAAGATGGAGAGGGAAAGGTAGGGAAAGTTTTCCATGGCGTGGGAGAATCTTTGAAAGAAAAGAAAATGTTTTCTCTCTTTTCTATTTCTTGATCTTCTTTTCTTTACTCTCGATTGCTAAACCACTTTACAGAAAAAGGTTCTAGAACTCGAGGTTCCTTTTGTATTCGATCAACATTGTTACTCTCATTCTCTCTCTCTCTAATATATTGTCATCATAATTTCGTAGACAAAAATAACGATCAATATCTGATTCGAGTCTTTATCCTCCTTTGCTTTCCCTCCGCCACTCTCACTACCAAGAACCATTGCTACTTCATTACGTAACTAATTCTTGGATAATATTGTTATGATTTACTGATTATCAAACTTACCTGTCTTTTAATTGTACTCTCAGTGATACGATTCAATTTGGATGCTTAATTTTTGTTTGATTTGATTGAAGCAATTTGTGTGCAATCAATGATGAAAGGCTTTTAAATCTCATCTTAATCTGATTGCTCAAGATGATTGGAAAAGTTTTTGGTCCAATTATTTAAAATAAATTGTTGCTTTTTGGATTATTTAATATTGTTAGTGATTTTTAGGTTAGTTTAACTGTTAAATAGTTAAATTAAATTGTGTATTGACACAGAATCGTTTATAATGTTTACGTTGATTATTTACAATTTGGTGTAACTGTTGAAAGGAAGTGATTTTCACAATGATAAGAAAAGGACCTCACCTTAAATATCAATGATTCTTAACCAATGAAGATAAACGTTTACCTTTATCATCCTCATCATCTTCATCTTAATATTTCTTAGGTAATTCATTCATAGAAATCTTTGCTCCTTGAAAAATTGAAGGTAACATATTAATACATAGACGAAACTCAAGAAACTGTACATTTGGTCTCCGTGGGTGAGGCTCTTTTCAAGAGAAAGAAGATAAAGAAGAAGAAGAAGAAGAAGATGATGATGATGATGGAGAAAAAAACTAAGGCGTATTTTAGCTCGAAGGTTAAGGTGATTCTAACGGAGACTTTGGGGTGGTAAATGATGAAGAAGATGATAAAGGGACACACAATTTATATTCGAATATAAGAAGATAAAGTTCACTTTCGCTTTGTTATCATCTAAAAGAAAAGTGGGTTGAATGTTCTCTTTCTTTTTCCCCCTTGTCTTCTTCTTCATATTCTCTCTCTCTCTCTCTCTTTCTTTCTTAACTTTTTCTTTTCTTTCGCTCGAATATTATTATTGGGCAATAGTTAAAGGCCAACTTCCGTCCAAGATATTACTGTATATTGTTTAGCATATGTCACCTTTACCTGTGTGTATAAATATCCACCGGTGGGGTGGATGAAAAGGGAAGGAGGAGAGGGAGAGGGTTGAAGGAAGATGAATCCGCTATGATGATAAGAAACGGGATCCAAAATGACTTTCGACTCAAATTATTCCTGTTATCGATTGAAAATATTTTCAATCAATATCGATGAATAACATTTTCTATTAGAACTTTTTTTTTATAATAGAAAACAAAAAGTTCCATTTCTAAAATTGGAACAAATTGTTTGCGAGAAAGCAAAAATTGTACACAGAAAATTATATTGTAAATGTAATAAGAATGTTTCTCTCAAATTGTTGAATAGAATTGAGAAAGTAAAGAAAGAGAAAGAGAGAGAGAGAGAGAGAGAGAGAGAGAGCAGAGAAAGACACAAAGAATGACCAGTGGTCATGGAGAGTTTATTAACTCATAGGGTTGATTTTTTACTTTGTCTTCTTGTCAATTACTAGTTGATCATCATTCCTTGTGTATCTCTCGTCCAAAAGGGTGACACACACAACATAATTGTCAAGAAGAAAAAGTAAAAAATCAACTGGATTATCTAAGGTAACATTCAGTTGATTTTTCAATGAAAAATCAGCGGGAGTTAAACTGTCATCTCGACGATGGGTCTCAGTCAGGGTTCTGCTTTCAATTGATGACAAGATGATTTTTCAGCACATAGAAAGAGAGAGAGATACACAGGTAAGGGTTTTCTCTTTAAATTAATTTTATCATCTTCTTCATTATCTTTGAAATCTTCTCTCTATTTCTCTGTGATGAAATGCGATCATATCAAAGTTTTTCTCTTCAATTTTCTTACCTTTATCCATCATCACCTGTCATTGTTTGCAAGTTGATGATGAGACATTTTGATTTTTGTTTATGCTTCATTGTGAATCTTTTGTAATTTTAAAGGTTTCATGATCGGTTGATTGTTCTGGTGATTGGAAGGGTAATATTATTAATAGATCAGTTGTTAATGGTTATATTTTTTTTGTCTGGGGGTGGGTTTTAATGGGTATTGTTATTGTTGGACAAAAGATTATGACTTAAAAATGAGTTGTTCTTTTTTTAAATTAAGAACAATTTATTTTTTGTCAATCATGGAAATAGTAAACATGACCAAAAGTGTTTTGATTGGTGTTAATTGTGTGTAAGTTTTTGTTTTTCTTTTCGCTTCTCTTGCTGATTTTAAACGTCCATATGGAAATCAAAGTAGGACTGGTCAAAGTTTTGGACACGAACGTAACCATCTTCTCCTCCACTGGCATAACTTTTACCGTCTGGATGGAAGGCTAAAGAGTTGATGGGACCGAAATGACCTTTAACACGAGCAAATTCCTCTTCGAAGATCAAATGGAAAAATCTGGCCTCAAATTTTCCCGCTCGAGCGGCGGTTGTTGTGACGTCCATTGCTTCTTGACCACCACCAACAACAACATGATCACGAATTGGAGAAATTGCTGCAGAATTAACTGGACGTTCAGTCCTGTAAGTTTTAAGATGTTCTAATGTTTCTGTATCAAATATCTGTAAAAGAGAGTGAAATTTAAACAAAAGTTAGTGGAATCAGAGTGACAATCAAATCAGGATAATTTACCTTAGATGTTGTATCCTTACTAGCGGTAATTAACATGGTTTGATCATTATTGTATTGCATGTCATTAATTTGTCCCCGGTGTACTTCAGGAACTTCTTGTAAGGAAGATGTAGTTGTCCTAAGATCCCATTTAATAATAGTACCATTTTCGTGACCAGTGATGATACTTTCATCCAAAGGTCCCCACAAAGCTGCTGTAGGCTTAGAAACACCCATATCAGCGATAGAGAAAACATATGAGTTACCTTTAAATTGATCTGGATCATTTATATCGAGAATTCTTAATTGAGAAGGTAAATTCATAGTTTTATCGGTAGTGAAGAAAATCTGTTTTCCAGAATTAGAGAAACCAACAACACGAATACCATTTTTAGAAGCAAATTTGCTCAATACTTTTCCATACTCTAAATCCCAAAGATTAAGACTATTGTCTCCAGAACCGGTGACAACTTTAGTAGAATCCCAATTACAATCAATAGTCCAGACGACACCTATTACAAGAAGAGACGAGGAAACAAAAATACAAAATGAAGATTAAGAAAAAATTCACAGAAACAATTAAAGAATCAATGGAAAAACTCACCAGCGTGTCCATCTAATGTACCAAGTCTTTCACCATTAACAGAATACCAAACATTTGGATTAGCATCTTTGGCACAACTAAACAATAAATCACCATCATGATTATATTTGATTTGTGTGATAGCTCTCTCATGTCCCTGTAAAGCTAAAGGTTTCTATAAAAAAAAAGAAAAAAAAATCAAACGAATTAAATTGAAGACAAAAAATCAAAAAAGAAAAACAAAACTCAAAATCCCAAAGCAACACAACAAAATTTTACCACAAAAATACAAATAAACTAAACACAACAAACAGACAACTTACCATTTCTAAAGGTAGCAAAGTAATCAAAGCACTTGAATAAACAAAGAAAATAAATTAATTGGAAAAATCTAATTGATTTAAATTAATTAAGAATTAAGATAAATACAAGAGAAGAAAAAATTTTCGGATTAATGTGTTGGCTGAATTTCCGATAACTCACGAGGTAAGACAATCGATATATCGAAGTATCGGATCCAAATTCGAATTTGATCCAATTGATATTCGATCGTTTCTTTCCCTTACCTGTGTCGCCATCTGTTCGAGATGTTTTCTTCTTTTCTAAGTTTACTCAATTACGATCAGTCTCTTCTTACCTCTTACTCTGTCGTGTGAATAATTGTGAATAATTGTGAAAATTGTGAATAATTAAGCAACAACAGTCAAAAGTAGGATGGAAAAAAAATCAATAGTAAAAAGTGCTCCGAAGGTTGAAAAAAAGAAAGTGATTGTGGTAAAAATGATGGGAGAGGATGATTGGGTGAATGGTTTAAAAATCAAAGCCAAATTAAGGCAAGCCTGCCTTGACTCTGGAGTCTTATACAAACTCTATCATGGATATAACTGTGCCAAGATTCATGTCGAATCAGGAAAACTAACATCAATTCTAAGAAGTATCAATAAACTTCCTAAACTTCAATATCATGTTCAGGAGGAAAGAAAACCATTGATTAAGATACTACTGAGGAAGGTTGGTAACATAGATCAAGACACACTGTTGGTGAGAATTAAAATGATAACAAATGGCTGGACAAGGAAGAGAATATCATTCGTAACATCTTTCCCGAAATGAAATAACCTCGGTCATCATGGAAATAAGTGAAGAATGCAGAGAACAACTGGAAGGAAAAGAGCCAATGGTGGTACTGGATGGAGAGAAGCTGAAATCTCTGATCACTTCAGAATTAGATACTGTGATATATGTGCCAATTTTAACCATAGTAGAGGAAATTGCAAAGCCAATACCAGATGCTGCTTCTGCAGTGAAAAGCACTTACATAGCAAGTGCAATAAAAAATCCAATTCTGATTTATGGCTTTGTCCCTCTTGCAACAGCAGGGGTCATTCCTTCTTCTATTATGACTGCTCAATCTTTCAACGAGAACTTGTTAAAAGATTAGAACGCATAAGTTATAACTATACAAATATTATAATTGAAACGAGAAACCTTATTTAAAACGAAACAACTTGAAATGAAATTACCACTTTGTGAAATCCTCTTGAAGAAACAACTTGATAACTAAGTGAAACTAATGTAATTTCATTTCTTCTCTATTAACCTCCACCCTATCACCCAAACCTCTATTTAGAATGGCTCCGACAAAGAAAACAAAGAAGACAGTTGAAACTATCGAATACAGTGAGGCAGATAACACTGATGACATCGACCAAGAAACAATAATCAAGTTCTTGGAAGAGATTAAAAATGGTACTACCGAATTAACGGTTGAACAACTGGCCGAGGATGAACGAGAACAATTTAAACGCTGCCTACTTGAAGCTTATAAATCAAATAGTGAACCCAAATTGCTATCCTACATCAAAATGTTAGAAAGTGACTCGCTGATTTCTGAAATATCCAATCCGCCGAATAAAACAAGTGGTGAATCAAAAAATGAAATCAATATTCGATACAACAATAAGTGGAAAATCCCGATAAACTGGAAGAACGTCGAAGACATACAACTGAATCCGATACTATTAGTATACTCGACCAAAAATGGAGTTAAAGAAACTGGAATGGCAACAAAAATTCGTGTGGGACAATTTCTACAAGAATCTGAATTACAAGTTAAAGAAGTAATAAACATTCAATCGTCAAGGAATTGCAAGATACTACTCACCAACATCAAAGCAAGAGAAATCTTACAGGAAGCGATTCACAAGAATCAATGGCCAGAAAACATCTTGATGGAAACTAGTAAACCAGCGTTGGTCGATCCATGTATCACATTTGACATCGATTTGATTGGTGAAAAGACGGAAATGGATTGGAACGATTGGTTGGTAAAATTGAGAAAATGGAATGAATGCCTTGATTCCAAGATTAAACTTGTTTACAGTAAGAGAATGAACAACAAAGCGAAGATTATACTGCAAACTGAATCAAAAATTAGAACGCTCATCGACAATCACCCTCAAAAAGGTACAATCTCGATTGCGTGGGGACGGATTCCGTTCTATGATTCGATAGGGATTAATATTTGCCATAACTGTCATCGATATGGCCATAAGCAAGCGAATTGCAAAATGCTCATTACCTGCAGATACTGTACCAAACCGCATCGATCAGCCTCATGTGAAATCATCAGAGATCGAAATGGAAGTGTAATCCCTGCAACGGTGTTGAGGACATCATTCACTTTCCTTCGATTGTCCAAAATTTGAAGAACAAGTAAAATGGAATTGAACAAGATTAATCACTCGTACACCTACCTGGTACTCAACCGTCAAGATCAATAACAATTCAACCTTTACTCAATCAACCTTAGATGGAGCCACTTTATTTATCAGACTTGATCATGACTTGAAATCATTAGCTTTCTTTTTTATCTTTTGTCTCTGTTTACATCCAACTACCTAATTAGTGTATTTACTTCAGTCGATTAAACATCTTTTACATCTTTCAAAATTAAAGTATCATTGATTTAAAATTACTATAAATTAATCTATTTTCAAGAACTAAAAGTGATAATGGAAGTAATTAAAAGAGAAACAGCCACATCTTCACTAATGGTGAATGAAATGAAAATGGATTGCAACTCGCTGGTGGAGAAAGAAAAAGAGATTATGTGGCTCAATAGAGAACCTGGAGAGACGATTGTTTACCTTTACTCTGAGAATGATGAAAACCTCTCGGAACCAACGCTAAAAATAATGCTATGGAACCTAAATGATTTGGAAAAAGAATGGGTTAAAAGTGTAACCAAATTGACCGAGGAAAATGGAAATGTGATTTACTTCATTAGAATGACAACCGAAGCCAGGAATAAATTGGCAAAGAAGAGTGACCTGTATATCCACTTTTGTGATCGTATGCTACCGGCCTTTGATCTCGTTGGAAGAAAGATAAGAGCCCTGACGAAGAATCTACACAAAGGCAACAAAGGACGAATGATAATAGCCAATCTGATGAAGGAATGCATGGCCTCAAACATAGAGTTTATCTGGAATCCTTGACAAATTATGAAGAGGACATTGGAGCGTATGTTTATGAACAAGTGATCAAAGGTGGCGTGAGTGGCGATCGCTTCTCGCTATCGATTAATTGAATCAATTGATTGCGATTGATTACACATGTCAGATCATCTACATAACCGACTATCTGACCAATTACAACACTTATAGTTAATCAATTCTTAAGTCCTTCCTTCTTCTCCATTTCCATCCCTCTTTCAACTCACATTATATTCAAGTATTAACTAATCAATTAACCAGTAGAAACTTGTGCTTATTATAAATTGGTGTAACATTTCTCGTTTATCAAATTACATTTACCTATCAATTCGTCGACACTGACTAATCATTCTGACTCATCAAATTCAAGGTAAATATTAATAACAATGCTAAAATTATGACAAACACTCTGATGATTACCTCATTGTTTAATTTTTTACTCTTTCAGGTCAAACATGATGAACGATAGATTGAGATGCAAAGATACCCCAAAAGCGAATGAAGGTGATAGATTTGTTGCAACTCTTCCGTTCACTCAATTGTCCAATGCAGTGGTGATTTGTAACTCTCCTGATGAAGCAAAAATGGCAGAGGATCAACTTAGAAGAAGTGAATTTGCTAATGTTTGGACTAAAAGGACGACAATTGAAAGGATGGAAGCTGTCATAAAACTAAAAGTTAAAGAAGATTCTTTGAAAATTTCGAAAGATGCTCCTCGAATACGATTGGTGGAAGCCAACGATGGCAATAAGGTTAACAACTGGCACTAAACCGGCCTTTACCATCACACACAACCTAGTTAATAGCCCAGTAATTGGACCTCATTATGATCTTTTAACAACGGGAGATTTCTACTTCGAAAGATTGGAGGTCATCAAAGTTGAACAACAAGAACTTGGTCTTCATAAAATAACCTTCACCTTTGACAACATCAAGCAAATGGAAGAAAGAAATTGGACCATAAAACTAAAAGCCATTGATTACTTTCTGGCTGATTCAATCGACATCGAGCAGTGCAGTAGATGCTATAAAATGATGACGGGAGAGGAATTTAGAAACCATTACAATTGTGGACCATCAAGATGCTCCGTCTGCCTTGAACCTCAATGTGTTTATGAGACCTTTTGTCAAAGCGAACCACTCTGTCCTTTATGCTTATCTCAAACAAAGTGAGATACTCCACCCAGCCAATTGCTATCCGAGATGTCTTTGTTGACTATGATACAAAACGCGATGGTAGATGTTGAGTTCGAATATCAAGATAAGATCAAATTACAACTACTTCCCCCGTTGTTTACAATTGCGAATTGCCTCTGTAATAAAGGAGGAACCAAAATGAGGTTCCTTTCTCTTATACTGAATTACCCTCAATTACATCTCTTTCCTTGCTCACTCAAACCATCAAGAATAAAACCTTCGAACAATCACCTTGTATCTCAGATATCGAACAACCTTTGTCAAGTGAAAACAACTAATTGTAACCTTAACCTTAAACGTCCCTATCTCTAAATAAAATGTTTTACTCTTCAGAATCGATTAGTTTTGTTTTATCAAGTGAAGAATTGACAATGATTGAAGTTAGAGGACCAGTTGCTGACCTTCATGACCTGAACTCGCTAAAAGGCGTATGGCAGAGAATGGACGATGGTTTTGTAAGCCTGATCTTCGGTATTGGTATGGACACTGATTTGTCATTGGTACTAATGGAAACTTTGAATGTTCTAATGGAAAAAGGCTTCAGCCTAGAGGTCATCAACTGGGAACAAATCAGGCTGGACGAAGTTGAAATGGACTTCAATTACTTACCAGTTGTACTTGAAAGCTTTTACTCTTGAAAACAAAGAAAATTGTTTGTGAAAAGTAAAGAAGATTGTAAACTCATCAACTTGAAAAGAAAAGAGGATCAGGATGACAAACGGGTGGTCAAAAAACAAAAACCGGAAATCGACGACGAGTAAACCACAAGTTAGAAACGGTTTGCAGTTTGTTGCTCTCAGAACTCAATCAGAGTTAATAAAATGTAAACATATAAATATGTAACAGTGGAAGTTAAATAAAATAAAAAACAATGGAAATAACTTTAATTTGTGTCAATTTATTACGAAAACAAAGAACATCCTCTTCTTGAATAAATTAAGTGAATTAGAGGCGATAATCATGGCATCGGAGGATTGTGACTCTAATCATTCGACACACAGAATAAGAGGAAATCAAACCTCTCTCACCATTCCCAAATCGTGGAGAATAATCAAACATAGCTTATACTGTGAAAGAATAATTATCTCATTCCTCAAAAAAGGAAACTGTCTGATATGTGTTGTTGGAGTCTACAGATCACCTAGAGATCAAAAAACTTGTAGACAATTGATTGAACTCGTTGAACGTTATGACAAGGAGATACCGATGTTCATCATGGGAGATCTTAACATTGAATCATCATTATGGTCGGAAAACCCCAGAAAAAGAAACAATCTACCGGCCGCACTGGTAAAACAATTAGAAGATACGCTACTATCAAAAGGCTTTGTGTCACTAATGGACAAGGAAGAATCAACAAGGGTAATCAATGAAGGAAGAGGTTCGGTCATTGATGTTATCTTAACAAATTCGAAGGTTAAAACAAAGAGACCCTTTTATGTTGATATGGTCAATCTGGATCACAGAATAATTGGGACGAAGGTTGTGATTGGTTACAAAGCAGCGAGAATGATGAAATATGAAACGAGAGTACCTATTTATTCTGATCTCTTGGTAAAATGTGAAAATACAGAGCAGATGATTCATAACATAATGCACTTATCCATACCGATTGGGGCCAGAAGGAAAGAAAGTGGAAACAGAAGAACGAGAAGAACCAGGAGAAAGATGAAAATGCTGGTATCGAATATGAACAGTGAAGCCGAGATACGAAAAGCTCTTCTGCGTCTAGATATGAGCAAAAACAGGTCTCTTCGAATGAACAAAATACAAGATTATGACATCGATACATTACACAAGTTGCTGAAAAGAATGAAAATAAACCAAGACATCGAACTAACGCAACCCGTAAGTGGGAAAATGTGGTTAATGAAGAGGTTTAAAAAGAAAGATTGGACGAAGAGGAATGAGGTGTACAATGGCCTGTCTGACGAGGAACTGGATGAGATAAGCAAAATGAAATTCACCAAAAGCTCTGGATGGGCTGATGCATTCACCATTAGACGTTGGAACCACTGCTGGAGGAAACATAGGCAGGAGATAATAGAAGTAATTAATGGTATCTTTAAAGAAGGTATCATACCAAGAGAATTACTGATAAGTGGTGGGACCCTGATACCTAAACCAAATGGAGACTTTAGAACAGTGAGGACGCAAAATTTCCTGAGTAAAATAATCGATAAGATATTAACGACGAGAATCAGTCACTGGATTAAAGGAAAAGTGAACCTGGACAACCAATTTGCGTACAATGAAAAAGACAGAATTGATCTAATGATTAAACTCTACGAAAATTTCAGCAACTACAGATATTGCATCTGCTTGGATATCACAAAAGCTTTCGACAGGATTGACAGGGAAGCCTTCCTAATCAGGTTGGAAGGAATTGATCGACAAACCAGGATGCTGACCAGAGAATTTACCACCCGAAGAGAAATCAGAATTCATCAGGATGGCAATTTGATAGTTAAACCTGACCCGGAAGGACTTCAGGGCCTATCACTTGGTCCTTTACTCTTCATAATAGGTCTTGATTCGACTATGAATTGGCTAAACAGAAAAGTTTATCAACAATTGGTATTGGCCTTCGCGGACGACATTGTAGTGTTAACGAATAACGAAAAAGAAACACTGGAAGAAATTAAGGCATCACTTGCGTTGATAAATCTCGAAGTTAATAGTTCCAAAACAAAGAGGATTGACCTTGGAAGTAACAGGAATCCTGAGCTCCTAGGGTACAAATTAACCTTATACAAAGATGAAGCAACTATTATTAGCGAAAGCTGCAGGAAAAACTCATTGAATGAACAACAACTCAAAATATTTAAAGATTTGAGACTACAAACCATCAGAACACTCTATCATTCTTATCTTAACCATGTGATGAACCATTTAGGACTTAGTCCTTGGTATCGTAATAATCTCTATGAATACAAGGTTAACTCGTATCTAGTTATTGGAAGAAAAATAACCAATCGACTAACTAATCAGGAAAATTGACATCAGGATGGTTTGACTTCATACACAATTTACCAAATCCAGCTACACACTACATGACAACAGTTTTGTACAAACTGTTGGAACACAATGTATCAGAGTCGAACTTCCCGATAATGAACTGGAACAAATTAAGAGAAGTTAAAGAATCTGTTTTGGGAAAACGAGATACCGTCAGAGACCTCACCAGTGAGCAAAACACGCTTATCATAAAATGGGCAAAGAGCATCTGCGTCAGACTGGTTGACGAACATTCACTATCGGGACTCATTATATGAAGGAAAATTCAAGACAATGATGGAAAGAACACTTCCTCGAATCTTGATGGAAAAGATAAGAATGTTCACAACGATAATCATAGGCTGGAAACTGAATTGGGAAACTGAAGAAAGAATAATGAGAATAATTGAAATGACTGGAAAGAACTTTGCCAGATCAGTCTAAGTGATTGCGAGGAAGAAGCTGTTGAGGTCATCGTCAGACCAATACTCACAAAACTTAAAATTAAAACGAAAATCAAGGAGATTCTCGAACAACAAGAGGAGCTTATTTTCAAAGAGAGAGGAAACTCAATAATAAAAATGATCTATGGGACGAAGAAAAACCTGAAAGGAAGCCAAAGGAGGTTTTATGAGAAAAAATTAATGAAACAACTAATATTTATCAAAATAAACATCGGTGCACTTTCGCATAATTGCGGTATGGAAATGACGATTAAGCACTTGAAAAATTGTAAAGATTGGAGACCAGAAGGAGGTTGGAAGATGACAAACAATCAAAAAAAGTGTAAACAAATAAAAGTCAAATCGAACTGGTGTTTGAAACCATAAAAGCCGAAAACAGCTCGCAGAGACTAGGGAGTCGACTCTCAATGGGAGAGCCATCGCCGAAGGTGATGGGAGCCGCTGTTAAGTCAGCCAAGTTAACAAAATGTCGCAATTAAATCTCTTTCTTTCTCTGTGTCTTCCCAATTGTGAGAGGTTTAAATTTCTTCTTGTCTCTCTTTCTCTTTCTCTTTCATCTTACCTCATATTTATTAGTCTTTTTGGCTTCAACGATGAAAATTATGTTGACAAAATAAACTCTCTCACTTGTCTAAATGCTCACCTAGAAATGTCTCCCTCTGTTTGTCGCAATCAATTTAAAAAAATACTTTGTTTTCTTTTAATTTGTTAATCAATTTGTCGTTTTCTCCCGTAGGCCAAATACCATTTTTTTTTTGTTTTCTTGGCTTTTCGGTCTTTACCTTTAACTGACTGTGTGAATCATCATCGACAATTATCCTCACAACATTTGACCAGTTTTCTTGGTTCCATTGTTTTCATATTCTCTTCATATTATTGTTATCACTTGACCTCCTCTCTCTCTCTCTCTTTCTCTCTCTCTCTCTCCTCCTCCTCTTTCCCTTTCTATTTAAACACATACACATACATATGAATAGAAACGAAGGTCTTGTTCAGAGAAGAGTTACCCAAGGGTGTAATTCAAATACTACAAAGCCTATTAATGAATTTAAGGATGGTACAGATGGTGATGTTGGAAAACAATCAAAATGTGATGATGACAATGATGTTGATTCAAAGGATACTAGATTAACGTTGATGGAGGAAGTATTACTTTTAGGATTGAAAGATAAAGAGGTGAGACAGATAAACATCAGAAATGATGATGAACAAGAAGATGAAATAATTATAAATGTACTGGTGTTTATTGTTTATTTATCTTCTTCTTCTCAATTGTATCTTCTCTACATATCATATTTATTTCTATTTCTATCTATTTTATATAACTAATTATATGCTTCTTCTTTCTCATTCTTCATCTTCATCTTCTCTCTCTTTCTTTCTTTCTTTCTTTTCCTTTTCTGTTCTCTTTCTACCTTTTCTTCATTTAGGGGTATACGTCATTTTGGAACGATTGTATATCCACTGGATTAAGAGGATGTATTCTTATCGAATTGGCACTTCGCGGTAGAATAGAACTCGAAAAGGCTGGTATGAGACGTAGAGGTTTATTGTCAAGAAAATTAATTGTTAAAAATCCAAATGCAACAGGAGATGTGCTATTAGACGAGGCATTAAAGCACATAAAAGACACACAACCAGAAACACTACAAAGCTGGATTGACTATTTAAGTGGTTAGTATTTAATTTCTCTGGAAAAATGTAATGATATTACTATTATTTATTATCTATTTTATTCATATTATCTTGTAATTGTTTTTACTTTTCTTTTTTGTTTTCTTTCTTGTTTTTTAAGGTGAAACCTGGAATCCACTTAGGTTAAAATATCAATTGAAGAATGTTAGAGAACGTATAGCTAAAAATCTTGTGGAAAAAGGAGTTTTAACCACAGAGAAACAAAATTTCCTACTCTTTGATATGACCACTCATCCATTGGTTGATTCCGGAATGAAATCTAAGTTGATTAAAAAAGTACAAGATGCCGTCCTAAGTAAATGGGTTAACGATCCACATCGTATGGATAAAAGACTATTAGCTCTAATTATATTGGCCCATGCATCGGACGTTTTGGAAAATGCTTTCGTCTCACTTTCCGATGATGATTATGAAATTGCCATGAGAAGAGTCCGTGAACTATTAGACCTCGATATGGAAAATGAATCTATGAAACCAGGTTCCAATGAGACTATGTGGGCTATATTTGCTACATTTGTTAAATAACTATATAAACATTTCCACCCGATTCACCCAGAAAAGAGCCATAAACAATTTAATTAACAACAACAACAACAACAACAACAATATAAAACACAAAAAGCACCAAAAAAAAAACTAAAATTCAACTTTTTTTTTCTCTCTCTCTCTCTCTTTCCTTCAAGAGTTAAATATACAAATTACATTGACTAATATTGATGAAGAAAAAAGAAAAAAAAAACCTAAAAAAGAAAAAACAATCACTTCACCATCTCTATCAATTGTTTCTATTTTAAATAATTTTTATTCTAATTGAACAAGGTTAATATTCGTTAATAATTGATTGGTTTTTCAATTGTTCTCGTTACATTTAATTTGTTTGTTTTTCTTTAAAAATTGATTCGGTTTTTTTTCTATGGCTGCAAGTGACATCTATTGGTAGATAATTGAGTTAATCTCTTTTCTTTTCTTTGGTTCGGTTTGGGTGTGCGCATGCGTGGAATCCATTTTGTCTTGATTGAGTTTGAAATCTTTTTATTATGTTGAGTGTTTAACTTTTTTTTGCTTGATTATAATCAATTAATTAGTGTGGTGATTTGTTAATTTATGTGTTAAATTGGTTAAATTTGGATAAATTAATTCATCTTTAATCGATTGGTGGTATTGGAATTGCAGGACACTTGAAAATTTTCCATCAAAAACTTGGTTATCCATTTTTTGACCAATTTTTTTTTGGTTTTTTCTCTTTTTCTCTTTCTCTCTTTCTCTTTCTTTCCTTTAACATCCTCTCTCTTTCTCTCTCTTTTTTGCCTTTTTTCCTTTCTCTCTCTTTCTCTTTACATCTTTGTTCTACACTCTCTCTTCTTCTCTTCTTTCAATGGAGGAGACTAAAGAGATTTCCAAAGGTTCTGGAAACGCTAAGTCTAAAGGAGATACCCCACAAAATAAGAAAATGAAATCAAACGAAGATGTTGACATTCGATTAATGAGCGGCCGAAAGGTGAGTTTTATGTTTTATACCTTCTAAAATTATCCATCATTTTAGTCAATTATTTCTCTTAGACCGGTTCTCTTTCCTATTGGGTTTTCTCTTTCTCTTGATGGAAACGGTGGTAGAATGAGAAAGGTTAAAGACATGTATACATGCTGAGAGTCTCTATGTATAGGTTTTCCATTATATAGCTTGAAGTCTGCTGATGTTTTTTTTTGCCTCTCATTATCTTTCAATTTTTCTGCTCTTTTTTTCCCTCACACTTTATATATATTTTTCTCTAATATTGAAAAAAAAATTTCCTTTGATCTTATTGGTTTTTTTTCTTCATTTTTTTGTCTATCTATCTTCAGGATGCAAAGAAAGAGAAAAGCATTGCTGGCAGTCGAAATAAAAGAAGAAGATCACCATCACCTTCACCACTTGCAGATAAAAAACGCCAACGTGCAAGGCAAACAAAAACTAGAAGTTCAACACCTTTATCACATTCTAGTGCTAAAAAGAAGCCTCTTCGAGGTGGTGATGAAGATTCTGATGAATCGTCTGAAGATACTGATGCTTGGTCACCCGATCAACCAGGTCAAGATGCCCAAACCTCAAAAGCAACAAATTCAAGAAATTCAGTGGCAAATAATGCATCAAATTCTACAGAGGCAAGTCTTTTAGCCGATGTTGATGCAACAGATCGTGAAGAGAAAAGTGCTACTCCCAGTGAAAATAGAGTTAATAATACCAATACGAATAAAAGTAATACTGGAACTATTTCACCTAACAACAATTGTGACAAAATAATCAAAGAAGAGGATGATGACAATGTCACTGATCAAACCAATTACATAATTGTACCTAGTTATTCAGCCTGGTTTGATTATAATTCAATTCACTCAGTTGAACGTAAAGCTCTTCCTGAATTTTTCAATGGAGCCAATGAATCTAAAACACCAGAAGTTTATCTGGCTTATCGTAATTTTATGCTTGACACTTACCGTCTTAATCCAACTGAATATTTGACTGTTACCGCTTGTAGACGAAATTTAGCTGGTGACGTTTGTGCTATTATGAGGGTTCATGCATTTCTTGAACAATGGGGGCTCATCAATTATCAAGTAGACGCTGAATTACGTCCAACACCAATGGGTCCTCCCTCTACAAGTCATTTTAATGTTTGTTACGACACTCCTTCTAATCTTCAACCATCTAATCCTTTACGTGCTCGACAAGATACTCCTATTAGTAATTCATCTTCACAATCAAGTTCCGAAAACAAAGAAAACAAGGAAATTAAAAATGAAGAACATAGTAAAGCAGAAATGAATGGTAACTTTGGTTTAAGAACTGACCAATATGAGAAGAAAAATGCTTACTTCAAGAATAAAGGAGCCACCAAGATGACTCGTGAATGGGAAGACCAAGAGATTTTATTACTTTTAGAAGCTATTGAAATGTACAAAGATGATTGGAACAAAGTTTGTGAACATGTCAGTAGTCGCACTCAAGAGGAATGTATCCTTGAATTCTTGCGTCTACCAATTGAAGATCCTTACCTAGATGAATCCGATGGTGTACTAGGACCTTTAGCTTACCAACCCATTCCATTTTCTAAATCAGGTAATCCAGTTATGTCAACCGTTGCCTTTTTGGCATCAATGGTTGATCCTCGAGTTGCCGCTGCTGCGGCTAAAGCAGCTATGGAAGAGTTTGAAAAGCTAAAGGATGAAGTGCCTTCTGCTTTGCTTAATGCTCATATCAAGAATGTTGAAAATAATGCCTCTAAAGGACAACTTCCAGAATTTGATTTATCCATGAGCGGTATTGCAGGTACTGATGAGAAAGAAACTCCAGCCAGTGTAGGAACTGAGGAAGAAAAATCACGTTCTGAAGGTGAGAAAAAAGAGAGACGTGATTCTAAAGATTCTAATAATAAGTCTCCCTCTATGGACCAAAAATCTGATAAAGTTAATTGTGTTACTCGTTCATCTACTGAAGGTAAAGAAACTGAAGACAAGTTGAAAGAAACAAAAGAGGATAGTAAAGTAATCACAGAAACCGATAAAGATGTTGAAATGAAAGATGCAAGTAAAGAGAGTGAAGAATCTAAAGAGAAATCAAGTGATCTTGAAAGTGAATCAAGTGATACCATTTCAAAGGAAAAATCAAGTGAAAAGAGCAGTGGAGAAATCATCGAAGAGAAGGAAAAATCTAAAAGTGACAATGTTGACATGGTTTCTTCAAAAGACAAGGCAGAAGAAAGTTCAACTGCTGCTGCTGATCAAACTTCTAGTGAGGATAAAGATAAAACATCAACCAACAAGACCAATGAGGAAGGAACAGATGATAAAGGGAAGAACGACAAAATCTCAGCGGTTGATAATAAAAGTTCAACGAAGGATAAGAGCTTAGATAAATCTAAAACCAAAAAAGATGATATTCAAGACATTTCTAAAGATAAGGTCGTCAAAGAAGTACAACTTTCTACTGCTGCAGCCGCTGCGTTAAGTGCAGCAGCGGTCAAAGCTAAACATTTAGCCGCTGTTGAAGAGCGTAAAATTAAATCATTGGTCGCACTTCTAGTGGAAACTCAGATGAAAAAGTTAGAAATTAAACTTAGGCACTTTGAAGAATTAGAATCCATAATGGATCGTGAACGTGAAAACGTGAGTAACCTTAAATTACACTTTGACAGTCGATTATATCTCTTTTTTTCTCTCGTCAATTAATCAATTTTGCTTCTTTTACTTCCAGTTGGAGTACCAAAGACAACAATTAATACAAGAACGACAACAATTCCATTTAGAACAGCTGAAAGCAGCTGAATATCATGCAAGACACAAGGCCCAGATGGCAGCGATGCATCAGTCATCCCAACCACAATCATCGCAACAATTAGCAACCCAACAATCACCATCTCAGCAACAACAAATACCCCAACAACAGCCTCCTCAACAGTCATCTCAGCCACAGGCTCCACAACCACCTCAAATCCAGCCAACTCAATTACCACCACCTAATTTACCGCCGCCTCATTTACAGCCACAACAAACACCCCAACTTCAACCTCCTCCTCAACAGCCACCACCACACCAAATGCAACCAAGCCAATTACCACCGCCCAATTTACCACCACCTAATTTACCACCGCCTCATTTGCAACCCCAACAAGCCCAATTACAACCTCCACAACCACCACCACCACATCAGATGCAACAAAACCAACTACAACCACCACAACAGCCACCACATCAAATGCAACCTAGCCCTTTACAACCTCCTCAACATTCACCATATTTACAAGCACCACCGCTCCAACATCCCCATTCACAACCACCCCACTTACAGCCATCTCAACAACCACCTCACTTACAAAACCCTCAACAGCCACCCCATCTACCACCCCAACAATCGCCTCACTTGCAGCCACTACCCCAGCAACCTCCTCAACACCCATCTCAGCATCCACCTCAACATGCACCACAACATGCACCTCAACATCCTTCCCAACCACCTCTCATGCACCCATCTCATTTACCACCTCAACAGCAGATTCCTCATCTGCAGCCACCCCAACAACAACAACCACCACCACATTTGCCACCCCACCAGCAACCTCCTCATCTTCAACCTGCTCAGCAACCGCTCCATCACCAACCACCCCACCTTCATCCTCAACAACAACAACAACCTCCTCCACAATTTCAGCCACCTCACTCACAACCTCCACAACAACCGCCCCATTTACAACCTCCTCAACTTCAACCCGCTCAACAGCAACCACCTCAACCCCATCCTTCTCAACAATTATCTCACCCCCAACCACCCCAACAACCACCACAACAACCGCCTCAACAAACACCCCAGCAAACACCTCAACAACTTCCTCCACAAATATCTCAACCACCACAACAACCTCCACCTGTTGATGAACAACAAAACGATTAACTTTTAATCCTGTACAATTTTTATCTGATTTTGACACAAATCAAGAAATACACAGTCACAAACTGTCAAAATTATTTCAAAACACTAACTCTTACAACAACAACTATAACCATAAACAACCAACAATCATTCACAAATAAGAGAAGGAATCAGAAAAAAAGATCTAATCAATAATACATGAAGAGATTATCTCTGTCAAAATCATTTACACCAGTTGATTGTGGACAGGCTAAGATTTAATGATCATCGTCATCATTATCATCATTATCATCATCACCATCATCACCAACATCATCATCATCACCACCACCACCATAAACAACAACAACCAACCAACCATTGGTCAAGAACACCATCATCATCATAATTCCTTTATTATTGATTAAAGATAATCGAAAAAAAAAAGATTTTTTCCTACTCACACACGCTTACACACACTCACACACACACACACACATCAAAACTAATTCTGTAAAGTAACAATCAACATAACCTGAGAGTTAAATTGTCAACTGCATGATAGTTAATTAATCAATCATGTAACATTAATTTTTGTGTGTGTGAGTGTAAAAAGATGTGATGAAAGCAAAGTGAAAAAAAAGTTATGATGAAAAAAAGCAACTTGAAAAAACAAAAATATTGACTTTCTATTCTAATAAACAGCAATCAAATTAAATCATCTCACCAATTCTCCGTGTTCATGTGTACTCGTACATTAAACTTACGCACATACGAATACCAAATGAAAGTTAATCAAATTAAGAATTAAAATTAACCGATTCCAATAATAAGTAATCACGATCAGCTATTGATTGAAAGTGAGAAGTAAAAAAAACTTATACTCGTATTAACATTGATTATGATTAATTGAAACTTGCTCAGTAATCAAACTACATCATCATCTTAATCATCAACATCAGTGTGAACATTACAATGGTTTAATCAACAGACACATTTACTTTGATTTAATATATATAAGAACAAGAATCAAGTTAATTTAGTTTGACTCTTTTAATTTAGTTACCAACAACAACTTTTTTTTGTCTCAGTTTGTGTGTTAACAATTGAATTTAATCAACAGCGAAACAAAATAAACAAATTGTTCATGTGAATTAAACAATTGTGATAATATTTACAATTTATATTTTATATATTATATTTTTTCATTGGAACAATTAAGAAAAATAGAATTGAATTAATTAATTCTAATCTTGAAAAGAATTATTTTTTTTCTCTCTCTCTCTCTCTCTCTCTCTCAGTGTTTCCATTTTAGATTTTCTAATTCAGTTTTAATTGTTTGTTGATTGTTGATACATTTTAGTGAATTTTAGATTCTCATTTGATTTGGTTAACTAATTTGTGTCCAAACGAAATCGATAATAATTATGATTCAATTAACTCGGTGTTTCTCAATTGTTTTATTAACAATTCTAATTATCGTTGGTTACCTTTGCCCGCCACTTACTCCGCTTCCTCAACGAACCGGGTCAGAGTTCATCCATCAACGGATCTTAAGGTCACAACGAATTCAAAAATGTGGCCGAAGCTTAATGGATATTCATCAATTGATCTGTTCGGGTGCCGCTCCAAGTAAACGGAACCTTAATGAAGAGACATGGTTGTTACAGGGTAAGTTAATTGTCTACTGATTGTTGACTCAAATTTCTGCTTCAAATTGAGGGAAGAAAATGATTAGATTGATTTACAAGAAAATCAAATTTCTTTCTGTAATAGTTAATACAATTGATTAATTGTTCTCAAGTATTGAAAATCAATTAATTCGTAATTTTGATTGTTGGTTTTTTTTCTTCTTCTTTTTTTTGTCTCTTGTTTTATTACTTTTTCCTCGTTTGCCTCGAATAGCAAATTTAGGACCTTGGCCGAAAGATTTGTTACTCGAAAAGTCGGACGATGATAATGACCTGGAATCGAATGATTTTCTCGATTCTAAAACAGCTTTGGCTCTATTTGGTTCGAGTCGTGGGTCGGGTCGCGGTGGACCAAGTGAGGATAGTCAGTTATTTTTCAGAAGTCTTCGTGCCGAAGGTCACAAATTGGTCGAGGAGTGTTGTCACAAATCGTGTTCACTTGATGAACTGAGAGCCTATTGTCGTCCACGTAGATGAATTATGGTTATTGACAATTAACTTAACCAATTCTTCAATTAAAAAGACGAAGATCAACAACTAAGTCAATTAAAAAACAAACAATTAACTTTATTCCTTCAAATCTACTCTAATTACGAATTTAACAAACCTAATACTTACAACACAATTAACTAGAAAATTATCATTTTAATCAAAGGAAAATTGATTCTCCCTCTCTCAAAGTGACCAATCAATCCTCACAATTTAAATCCAATCCAAGAAAATCAATTAATTCACTTTCGATCTAAAATTGTTTACATTTACTTTTTCGTCAATTGTTTCAATTGCTCCAATTTTCATCACTCTCCTCTCTCTCTCTCTCTCTCTCTCTTTCTCTCCCACTTTCTCTTCATATCTCACCATTTCCTTTTCCTCTTTGTCCTTCACTTTTAATCAACTAGAAATTAATTAATCTCTTAAATTAATCTCCTTAATCCTTTGTTCATTTTTCCTTCTCAATTTGAAAGTCTAATGAACAAATGAACACATAAAATAAGAAATCCAAGCAATCAAATTTGATTCGTCTTTCTAATTATAAATCATTTTCCAATCTCACCAACAATCAATAAAGAGCTTGATTCGTTTTTTTGTGATAATTAAAAGCTTTAATTGCTCGCAATTGTAAAAGGCCAAAATCTAAGAAAATAAAAATAATAGAAATGAAAAAAAAAATAATAAACAATTAGAATAATTAAAAGGAATTAAGATTTGAATTGGAGGCAAAAGAAAACAATTAACTATTTAGATTGTATTAATATTAGTTAGAGAGAGATAGAGATTTAGTTTCGAGGGCAATTTAATTTACTTTAAATTGTGAAATTGTGGTGAAGATTATTGTTAGAGACCTGAAACAATTAGTATATTGTTCAGACAAGATCAACTCGGTAACAGCGAGGACAATTGTTTTAAGGAAATGTTTAACAATTAAACTTTAGTTTGTGCGTCTTTTCAAACAATTAATATGATTGTAGACAAGATTGATAACATTGATATTGAAATTAATTCTAATTGTGTCTGATAATTTGATTAAAAGAGTAAAAAAGATTGAGGAAGAAGTTATAAAAACAAAAATCTCTTAATTGTTGATAACTTTATGTTCACATATAAATTGTCAAACAAACCTGGAAGTGAACCTTTAACAATTAACAACAATTATTGGTCAATTTGAATGAGCTTTTTTTTCTTGATCAGTTGATTAAAGTTGTAGTCATTTTGTTGTTGTTTCCATTTCTAGCAATTAACCTTAATTGTTATGAAGAAAATCAGTTTCATCTTGTTAGGAGGTTCAATCAGACTCAGGCAATAATGAAACAATCAGTGAATTTAACGGTTAATTGTTCAATCAAATAAAATTGTCAACATTAATCATCCAATGATCTTTCCTTGATTGTTAATTTACTCATTGATTCAGCAAATTTGGTTAAATCTTTCTCCTTGATGTAAGGTGAGGCGACAAAGGTACTTTTCAGTTTGGCTTGTTGCCTTTTCCTTGAAATTTGATTCAATTTATCCTTTTCAACACCATGGAACTTGAATTCATCCTCTTTATCAGTCTCAATCTCCCCGGTGGTCAAGTTATCAGCATCAGTTTCCACCCTTGGTACAACCAGAACCTCCTCTCCTCTAGCACCTTTGGTATCCTGGTAAATATTAACCCGAACCAAGGGTACACTTGAAATTGCTCCGATCATTTCACTGAATCTCATCCAGAAAGGTTCATCAGTTAATTGCTCTTTCAGGTAACATGAAGCTTTATAACATAAATTGGAGCAAAACAATTTACGCTCCGATAAATCGTAAACTTTATGTTCAGCTAATGAGATATGATAACGTTGTCGTGATGATTTGGGTAAATCATTAAAGCACAAAGGGTAACCACAAATATTTACCAAACTTCTTTCAACATTTACATCATGATAATCTTGTTTATTTAAATATCTACAATGGTCAATCAATGTCTCCTGGTCAATCTTAGAATCAACAATTGATTCAACAATAGTTAATACCTTTCGTCTCGCCTCTCGGATCTTTCTGGCTTTCAACTGTTTCTCTTGTACTGTTGTCATAATCTATTCATATGTTCATAAATGTTTTCCAAAACAATATTGTTATCACAGTATAAGCAGAGATTAGTATCAAATAGAAAATAGGAAATCAATCCAGTTAATCACAATTAGAAAAAAATGAAAACAAATGTTAAGATTTTTAATCCAAAAAAACAACAAAAACATTAAAGGTAATCAGGTGATCGCAATTAGCGCCATCTAGTGGTAGGAAAACGAAACTCTGATCCGATTCGAGAAAAAAAAACAAACTTTTTTTTATTTGATTTCGGTGAAAATTATCAAAGTTAAAGGTCAACAATGGTCATCAGCAAATACGAAATACTTTTGTTTAATCTGATTGATAAACAAAGAATACAGAAAAAGGTATTTACAAGGATATAATTTGGCTTTTAGTTAAAAAAAGGATTTCTATAAATATATTTATAGAGATTTACTAATTTGAGCAGATTAAGATTGTGTTTGATTGATTCTTGGAGTCAACAATTTAACTCTCTTTTTTGATGGAAAGAAGTTAATTTCTCAATTGTCGATTGAAGTTTCGTAATTATAATTATGTTTTTTTGTTGAATTCAATAATTCGTCAAAAAAAGGATTGATAATAGCGGTTTGAGTTTGCTACGAGTATGTTATGATGGAAAAAGTTGATAACAATTAGAATTATGTAAAAAAAAATGTTTTGATTATGATGAAGAAAGATGATTATGATGATGGTGGTGGTGAGCAAATAATCAGCAGCTCCATTGGAAGAGAGAGAGTTGATTGATGAAGATATGATTAGACAATTAAACGATGTACATAAAAACAAGATGATTAGATTATCTTTTGATTTCTAAGAATTGTTGTAAAAGAAATTGAGGAGCACAATTTGATTGTTGTAGATAAACAATCGGAGAGAGAGATTAATTTAGCTCAATTAACGGATCACAAATTGTTTTGCTTTCTTTTGTACATCAACTAATTAATTTGAGTAATGATAATCAAGAATTGAGGAAGAATCAAAATTGTATCAATTCTTGAAACATCGAGAGAGATAAATGTTGAGAGTTGATTGAAAGTAAAACAGGAAATTGTGATCAATCTGATTATCTGATGATTGTTACCATATGAGATGATGATGATGATGATGATTACTAATTAATTTAGAAAATTACAAAAGTTAACCAAGTTTCAATAAGAAAATCATTAGTGTAAAAAGGCAAAGACGATTTGGCGATGTTGTTGTAAAAAAAACACGAAGTCAATAATAGTAGTTCGTAAATAGTAATATAAACAGAGAGTATAACTAAATTGTGATGATTAAAAAAGAAGATTAAATAAGTTGATTGTGAGTTAATTGTACTTTGATGATCAACTTTCAAAACTTGTCGTCATAACGGTTTTATACGCCTTCTTGGATGGTCGAGTGGGTGTCGGTCGGAATGGTTTCCTTGTTGGTTTCGATTGTCTTGGAACAAGTTCATTAATCTGTATTTATGATCAACAATTAAGAATTAAAGAAGAGAAGCAAAAAAAAACATTTCAACAATTAGTTAATTGTCTTCAATTTACATAGTTAATCAAAAACGATGAAATATGAAACAGTCAAAAACCTCTACAACATGAAGAGGGAAAAACTTCAACAAATCATTTGATTGTTGTGATAAATATTCTGATAGTAATTTAAAGCTTTCAAATTGAACCATTAGATAAATATGAGTGAAATATGAGATATAATTAAATTAACTGAGCAATTAAATATGAGTGCAATTTGAATGGGCCATTTTACCGTATTCATCCTAAGGACAAAGATCAATGTGACAACCATAAGTGCGACTGCAATTGTGACTTGAGTAAACGTGGCGATTGTAATTATATTAGGAACATGTTTCTGGAGTAAAATTAATTGACTTATAAGATCATCGCTAATTGTAGCAGACTGACAGAGGGAGAAAGAGAGAGAGAGAGAAATACAATTAATTATGTTAATCATTGACAATAATTAGTTTAACATTTGGTGTAAACACATAAATCATGTGCTTTAATTGTGACAAATATTGTTGACTTACAGTTTCCCTCCAAAAAATTGGTAAATTGATTGATGCTTTTAAATTAGAGGTAAAATCAATTTCATCATCTTTTTCCAGCATCATGTTTATCTGAACTCGAGCTTTAGTATCCACAGGTACTCCAAGATTCTGAAGAAAATGAAAAAATATCAATAATAATAATAATATATAAGATAAAAGGTAAAATACAATTTTAAAAAAGGTACACACTCATGCATGTAAAAGATTACCTGTAAGAGAGGTAAACTTATTATTATATAAAACCTTGGATAATATGATTAACTGATTTGTCTCAGTGATTTAATCATATGATTAGTAAATTGTTAATTTATTCACACATACCGGTTCTATATCCATGTAAAATGAATGCTTTTCAGGATCTGGGTGAAGACCTTGAATATTTTTGGTGTAAACTGGATCAGCGAAAAGATAATGAGGAAAAGATATTGATGCTGGTGAACCATGAGTACAAATTGATATGTTAAAAATACCATTGGCTGGACAACTGACCATCATATGTTATAATTATGTCCATAGAAATTTAGAAGAAAAAAGAAAAAAGTTGAAAAATTTCATTGGTTCATGTGGAAAACTGATTACAAAGTAACAGCAAACTTGTTGGAAAATGATTTATTGATTTACTGTCACAATTTGGATCATTTGATTTCTTGCTTAATTTGATTCAGTTTTAGATTAATTGTAATTACCTTTGCCCATTACAATAGCATTTGTTTTTATCCAAATTATAATCAAATAAACTTGGACTTAGCCAATATCTAATTGTGTCAACTCCTTTGGTTGATCGTCGACTGAGGTAGGTAAGAGTTAATGATCTGTGGAATTAAATTGCGAAAATTAGTTAATTGTGCAAAGAATTGTCAGTAAACAATTTATAAATTCATTAGGAATGACAGGAAAGTTGGTAATTAACCATTGTCATTACAATAACAATGAGTTAATTGTTTGTTTTCACTATTATTGTATCATTTAACTTGATTAACTTTCTTAATCAGTCAATTATTAAAATCTAATCTAAACAATCATCAGGTAATTACCAAGGTGGTTGATTAGTTAATTGTCATCCAACAAGTAAAAAAAAAGAAAGGTAAACAATTACAACAGCGACAATTTGATTGTAATTGTGATAATAATAATCAATTGAAAATCAAAAGTGAATTGATTTTAAACTTAATTTTTCCTTGTGTCGAGAGGCTAATCTTTACCAAGGGGCTAATATAATTAACTTTAATAATTGAGAACAATCAAAAATGACAAACAATTTAGGGGGACAAGTTAATCTAGTGATTAAGAGAAACAAAATAATTATGATTAAATAAACAATTTAATCAATAGTGAAGATCAATAAATTGATTTGATAATGATTAATCTCTTTACTTATTCTTGATCGTCTCATTTACTGTCAAGTTTAAGTAAAAGTTGACAGTTTATAATTACAATTAAGAAACAAGTTTATTCTCAATTAAATCATCATCATCATCATCATCCTCATAATCAAAGATTAAATTAAATATCAGTCTTTAAAATTTAATCTAATCAAGTGATTGAAAAATTGTCGCAAACAAAATCAAATGAAAAGCTCAAAGATTAAGATTAAAAGTAAACAGAGATTGGAAAAAAAAAGTTAAATCGGTTATGGTGAAAATCAATCTGATTGTCTGACAATCAGAATAAATTATCATACTGATGATAATGAAACAGGTAAGGTAAAAACGTATTCAAGGTTGTAATCAGCTTACACATCATCGTAATCATTACTATTAACTTGTAATTATGTTTAAGGAAAAGAAAAGTAGTAATCAAAGTTGTGAGAATGGTAAATAAATTGGTTAACAAGGTAATCGTAATCAAGGTGCGATTTAAATTTGACAAGGGCGACAATGGAAATATTATTTATCTATTTACCTGCAAAGATCAGGAGCGAAAAGGTATAACTCTTCAGGATCACTAGACGGATAGGGTGGCCTAAGATCACCAGGCCAAGCGGAATTGAAAGAATTACACTTTGAATCATTCCAGATATTTAATTGTTTCTCATTGTTCCAAGAATGAAGAAGACCAAATTGACTTAATGTACCAGATTCACCTGAGTAAATGGTGAAAGATCCATCGGTATTGGTATTGTTTCGATCACCGAAAAAACTGAACGGACTAACCCGAACAGGGGAAAGTCCAGCTTCTTCAATGAATTCAAGAAGTTCATCATGATATCCTTTGAATAATAATTCACTTGCTGTATGATTTAGGAATAGATCGTCACCATTTCCAACGGCAACTTGTTCGACAAAACCATAGATCATTGCATCAGCTTTTCTTTTCGCCTGATTTAACATTCCCTAAAGATGGAAAAGAGAGAGAGAGAAAGAAAGAAGAACAATTAAGTTAATTGTTATTAAGTAAAAAGATTGACCAACATTCATTATACTTACAGCTAATGGTACATTTAAATGGACAATTGTATCATTAAGACTGCCAACAGTCATTTCCGGAATCGGATGATAACGAGCGACTTGTTGATATGAAATTAAACCATCATGATGATTCCAAGTTACATTGATTTTTTCACGAACCTCGAGAAAAGTATATGGACCTTGGGGGGTTTTTTGTTAGAATTTAATTAAATCAAAGTTAGAAAAGTAAACGAAAAAAGTAAAAATAATGATTGATTGATGAAGAATTAAAATGATTAAAAAAAAATGAGCGAAAAGTGTTAAGTACATGTATTTGTAAACAAGGCCAAGGCCTAAATTAAATTCTTAATCATGAGTAATTAACAAATGATTAAAATCTCTTCTTCTTATTTTTTTTTTCAATACTTAGATAACTAATATTTCAATAGTTTAATTGTTGATGGAGAGGAAAACTTTTCCAATTAACCTATTGTGATCAACTAATGTGATAATGTCACACTTATATATTAAATTGTAATAATTGAGAGGTAAATGATAAGAAATTAACTAAATTGAACAAGATGATTAACACTAAGTATATATAAATTACATTGTAATATATTGAACAAATTATTACATCAGGTTAGGTGAGAATGATAAAAATGTTTGATTGATTGATTGATTGGTAAAAGTTAATAGTAGGAGATAAGTTGATTGTTGAACAAGTGAATAAGAGAAGGATAAGAAATTGAAAACTGATACATCGTATCGATAGTTAATCTTAATAACTGAGCTAATTAACTGAACATAGAAATGTATATACATAAGTTATTAATATTTGGTAGAATATCAATTTGATAAAGAAATGACTTATTGGTGGAGGTGGAAGAGTTGACTTGGAAATTTGGGTTTCAATCTATATTAATTGTGAGAAAAGGGCAACCAAAATGGACACTTAATGGACACATACACACAAAAGAGAATAGAAAAGTTAATTTGATGAATAAGTTAACACACTTACCAAGTTCTTTAAGAATTGGTTCACTTCCATTGATAATTTCCTTTGGATTGGTAACATTAAAGAAGTAAAATTTAACATAAATTGGAATGGGAGCTAATTTCCAACCAGAATAAGTGTCAGAGGTTGGAGATGATAGAATTAACCTCTAGAAAGATGGAGAGAAAAAGGGAAAAAGAGAATATAAATATGAGCAATAAAGAAGAAAATGTTTAAAAGGAGAAAAGAAAAGAAAAGAATTTCTTTTTCTTACCTGAGATACAATGTACTTTATGAGATATGGAGATAAAAGGTAAGTTAGAATGGCACTTAAACAGAACATCAAACCACCTCCGATTAAGCCACTGATGAAACAATTACGTCTAGTGTAGGTCATTTTCCGTGGTGTTGGTGGTGTTTGTTTGTTGTGAGAGATTAAAAAATTAAACTAAACAATAACATTAAAAGGCACAACAGTTACCAAGTTGTTGTCAGTAGAAAACAAGTAATGTAAAAGAAGAAGATGTTGAGAGAGTTGAAAGAAAACCCAAGTAACTGGTTTGATCTTCACTTCAATTGATCGATCCAACAAAATCGATCCTCTTATTTAATCGTATTTCAACTTTAATCATAAGCGCTGGAAAACATCCAAGAAGAGGCACAAAGGAAGAGAATGACGTTCATCGAATGTACAGAGAAAATTACTTCATGAGGATTCACCGAATTTACAATTGATAAAGAGAAAAAGAGTAAAAAAAAAATTCTTCCAGAGAAAAAATAAAAATGAAAACATTTCCATTTGAACGGCCGTCGAATCCGATAGACGTCGCTAGTAGTGGAAACACCGAAAAAAAGGGGGAAAAATTTAGAATTAAAAGGTTACCCCCTTAGGATTGTTCTCACAATTAATTAATCTTTGAGTTGATTAAACTTTGGAATATTAATATTGTTTGGTTATCTGTTTATCAATCGATAATCAGTGGATTGAATGTCTTTGGGACAAAAGTGAATTTGTATTAATTGTTTGGGGAAAAAATTTCGTTCGAGTTAATTGTTGTTGTTGTTTTGTAATTGTAAAAGAATTGACAATTTAGGTTAATTGTTGTTAATTTATTTCTATCCGGGTTTTTGTCTATTTCCAATGTGGGCTCAATCTAATTTTTGTTTTTCTCTCTTTATTTATCTTCTCATTGCTTGTTTGGTTAATTGTCATTGATTGATTTGTATTGTTTTCGTCAAGATGAAATCTCTTCTATTGTCTATTGGTATTACTTTTATTTTAATCTCATCGTTAATTGTTACAATTAATTGTCAAAAGTATTGGAAAAAAGAGTTACTACCTTTTAACGAAGCTTTTGGTTATGATGTTCCCTCTCGAGATCGAACCCTTGGTGGTGCAGTTCGATTTGCTAATCGATCTTATCGACAAATGATGTACTATTATCTCTATTATCATGGAGGGTAAGTGTTCACAAGAATATCTGTTAACCTTTAACCTCACTGTTAATTGTTAAAAAAATGAAAAAAAGGACAAATTAATCAATCAAATTGTGTAAAACTAAATTAGAGATGAATTAAAATTGCTCATTCCTTTTGAATTTATATTCTAATTGTTATTGTATTTTGTTTTTTTCTTTTTTAAATCTTTCGGTGTCTTATAATCAAATGGAATCGCAATTAAAATTGTGGTTAATTTAATTTCTTCTCTCTTAATTGCTTTTAATTAAATCAAAAATGAAAAAGTTTACCAGTTGAATCGAGTTTCATTTCGATGGTCATAGAGGGCGCTGAAGAGAGAAAAGTTATTAATTGTTTTCAATCAGAATTTAGTTAATTAGATTTTTATTTTAAATAGAAATTGGAATTAAATCAATTTAGTTATTTGAAGCAATTAAGAGAAAATGATTTACTTTCTATAAATCATTAGAATCTTATTATTATCCAATTATTTCCAATGCTCGCAAAGGTTATTTGAAAAACTTGACATTCGATAACAATTAACTTAATCCTTTTGACTCTCAGCAATCAATTTATAAATTAATATATTGAGATTAATCAGAATGAACGTGACAATGAAGAAATTAACTCACAATTAAACAACTAAGGTAAAACTTTTCGTAGTATTAATAAAATTGATCAACTTTGATAAATTAACAATAGTGATTTATTGATTAACAATCTCAGAAATGATTAAATTAAATGAGTGACTCAAAATTGTATTAATACAATTAACTACTGTTTTAAGGCGTTAACCAGGTAACCAGTAAACTAATTGAATGATCATCAATAAACTTAATTAGTTGGCCAACAATTGATGAATTAATGAATTTCTCATGAATAGTTAATCACCATTATATGTGTTTAATTAAGTAAATCAATAAATTAATTTATCGACAAAAATGTTTCTCTATTATCTCATGTGTTCATCGTTAATTCAATTAATCGACTCAGGTAATGATCTATTAACCGGCAATTCGTCAACAATTAAACCTAATCACCTTAATTGCAGCTTCTCTTATGCATCTTCCCTTACGAGTGACCAGTGGATCCAATGTGATTATTCATGCAACTTTAACGGACACTGTAAGTGACCATTTGATTAGTGATTACTAAATTCTAATTTAGTAAGACAATTAACTAATTGTTGACTTGTTCTCAGATTAATGGTAAAAATTGGAAGATCAAAGAATATCTTTCAACTGATCATTCGATTCATGGAAAAATTCATGTTGAATCGGATGAAAGTTCATTTGATATTTACTATGAGACGGTCAATGATTACAAGCGATTGGTCATTCATGGTAAGTTTAATTGTGTAACATTAGAGTGAACAATTAGTTGATTGTTAATTTTTCCAAAACAAAGACAATCAATGTGATCTATTTGAGTTCAATGGTAAAGAGCATTGGGATAAAATGTTACCTGGGGTCAGTAGTTCACTGACCAATACAATCTTAATGGTTGGACCTTCATTAGTTTATAGACTTCAAAATGATTTAAGTGCTTTTGTAAGTTAATTGTAAACAATTAAATTGGAAAAAAAAATGCAAACAAATTGTATTAATTATCAACCATTCTAATTAGGCTAAAGGAGATTCAAGTCCAATGGTCAAAGGGGTCAAGATGGACAGTACATCAAGAGATATCTCATCTAAATTGAGAATCACAATTTACCATCAATGTAAGGCAACAATTAAGGTTTAAACAGCTAATTAAATTAACCAATGTCTTAATTTTGTTCATCAATCAGTCAATTCTGATATTGAATTAGCTTTAATTAAACCTAATCGGATACAATTTGATGGTTACAATTTAATCATGGACATTACTTTACATTTAATCACAGATTATAATCAAGTCGAGTCACAGGTAAGAGTTGATATGATTAACCTTAATTGTGAACAATTTAATTATCAACATCCTTTAGATAACTCCAGGTATTGGATGTCCAATTGAACTACAACCAATTAAATTATTACCAAAATTAACAAGTCAACAAATACAAATGACAATCAAGGAGAAAGTGATTAAATTTAATTCTGAAACAATTTCCTCATTCAAAGTAAGACAATTAAATGTAATAACTATTAATAAATTGTTACAATCTAACCCAAAGTGATTAATGTATTTAATTAGATTTATGCTGATGATGATAAACAATTAATGGCCATTATTTCAGATGCTGATAAATCAATGAAACTTTTTGATTACAATTTAGATATAATTTATGATTATGGTAACAATTTAAATTGTAAATTAAAGCCAATTGATTCTGATGGTCCGGGTTTAATTGTAAACGATTACAAAGCTGATCGATTTGATTTATATAAATTGCTTGAGATGAGACGACCATTTAAATATCTTGGTCAAGTTAATTATGTAATTAACTAATATTTAAAAGTATAAATGAACAACAATCAACTAATTGTTGAACTTTAATCCATAGAGATCACGATTAGCTTTTACCATTGATGCCTGGGAATCAGTTGAATATAATGTCATCTTTAATCAAGTTAATTGTGATAAATTAGTGGTAACAATTTACTTGGAGAAAACGGTAATTAATCACCAATCAGTTAATTGTAGTTTACTAATCAACCAATACCAATTAGATTCAAGACTTGGGATGGTCAAGTAATGGTCAACACTATTTACCATTGGCTATTGTTTTAAATTGTTACAATAAGGATACTAAGGTAATTGAGCTTAATTGGTTAAAATTAGTTAATTAACTGTATTTCGTTAATCATCATCAGGGTAATTACAATTTAGAGATGAAAATTGAACGAGACATTTATGATTATCAAAGTGATTTCATTGAAAGTGAATTAAAATCACTGATGAAATCATTTAATTGTCCGTTTGGAAAACGTTTACAATTAACCTTTAAACTTGAACATTTTGGTGAGTTGATTAATTAGTTGTTTCTGTTGATTGTTGTCAATCAATTAGTTAATTATTTCTTTCCTCTTATCAAATAGAATCTAATCAATTGATTGAGGATAATCTCGAGGAGATTAAAAGTTCATTGGAAAATGAGATTATCAAGAATGGGAAAATTTCACCAACAAGAATTGAGAAAATTGATTTACAATTACAATCAGTTGATTTAATTATCGCAACAATTAATTTGCTTGAAGCTCCATCTGTTGGAGGTGAATTAATTTTCTCTTAATTGTTATCATTTCTAATTGTTTTCTTCCTTATTTAGATGTTTTTCCAACACAATTAAGAAGATTGGACATTTCAAAAATTCGTAAATCATCAAGTGTCCATGTCGATACAATTGAAAAGTGTCTCCAAGTAGAGACTTCATTTGATGAGAGAATCAGGTAATTGTGATCGATTAATTTTCTTAATTGTCATTCTAATTGTTTGATTATTTAGAGCTGTTGTTTATTGTTCAGAGGATGAAATTATTTGCTCCAGTGTCGGTGATGGCGATCAACTAGTCGATGACCTTTCGAACGGTCAATTTTGTTTGGTCATCGAATCGCCATTGGGAAGGTTACATCAATTTACTCAGCAAATTAAATTGGATTCAGTTCATGATTATCTGTTGAAATCAAGTTCTAATTCAACAATTAAGGTTCCAATGACCAATGGTCAATATTTTCCTCTTCAAATTAATGATATAATTGATTGGTCATCTTTTAATTACGATAAACAAGTTGAATTTATTGGACCAATTAAAGGAATCGTTTTAAAAGATGAAAACTTTGATTTGATCTCTTCCTTGACCATTGGCTATTTTAGTGATTGTTATCGTTCATGTGGTCAACTTGATTGTAATTCATTCTCATATTGTCAAGTGAACAATCAAATTATCTGTAAATTGTCAAGCAAAAGGATCACAAGTGAATCAAATTTAATAATTTCCAATGAATCTTGTAAAACTTATCATCGAAACGCTGAGACACAATTTCATCAAATTAAATTGAGACAATTTAACTCAATCAATTCAACTCCAGTCAAAGTGATTAAATCAAGTGATTGTGCCTCATTATGTCTTGACAATCAAGTTAATTGTAACTCTTATCAATTTTGTCCATCAAATGGTTTCTGCTATTTAACTGGCCCTTATTCAGAGCAATTAACTCAAACCTCTGATCATTGTGACATTTATATTCGTAAGTGTTTAGTTATAATCAGTTGATTGTTGTGTTTAATTATTTTTACTATTTTCTTGTAGCTAAACAATCAGATAATTATCAACGAACTGGATCAAAGATAATTGTGAACACCAATCAAATTGAATTTAACCTTAACCTTGACCAATGTGCATCTCTGTGCTCTGGACTGGACACTGACCAATGCAAATCATTTAATTATTGTAGCAAATCAAAATCAGGCTCATCATCATGTTCATTATCAAAATTCACAATTAACGATGAAAAAAATGTCCAATTAACTGAATCAACATATTGTCACAATTATGAGTTAATTTTGAAATCTAATGAAACCAATCAGCCAAAATCAACTGAAACCAATTTGATTGTACAATTTGGACAATTTAAATTGGATTTAATTATAATCTACATATTAACAGGTCTGTTAATTGGTTTTGTAAGCAGCTTAATTGTTACCAAATCAATTGATTTGATTGAAAAGTCAACAATTAAAAGAAATACTAATTCATCACCAGAGGAGCAACAATTTGAAGACATATTTGGATACTAATCATGATTAAATTTTAATTGTTCAAATAACTAATTCTGTAAAAACTGTTATAATTTATTAATATTTTCACAATTAACTGAATAAATCAAAAATTAATGCCCTGGATATTATCATTACCTGATTGTTTCAAGTTAGTTAATAAATTGTGAAAATTTGAAACAATCTAATCTGACAATCACAATCAAGGATACATGATTTAGTTAACTAATCACAATTAAAACTGGTTCTACTAAAAACTAACTAGAAAATCAACTTTTCAATTAACACAAGTGACAACAAGATTCATTCAATTAATAAAGACACTCAACAAACAACAACAATTAAAGACAATTAACTTCAAAATTAAAGTTCATTTAACTAAGTTAGTTTACTAATCATTACAATGTTTACCTTAATCAAGTTAATTACAATACAAATCATTTTGATAACAATTTACTCCTGTCAAGGAATCACAGGTAAGAAATGATAATTAACTAGCTACAATTAATCACAATTAACTGTTTAATTTGTTTGATTTTCATTTAGCTTCATCATTAAGTAAATTGAATATTAATCAACCCAAAGGTAAATACAAAATTGAAGCGACAATCATTAACAAGGTAAGAGTAACAATCAACTTAATTGTGTACCTAAAATCTTATCTTACTAATTAACTAATCAATCTTATTACAGGTTAACAATGAAACTTACAAAACAATTGAATTTCTTAATTGTTTGGATTCAATGTCATCTTATGGTAAAATAATAATTCATCAAAACCATCAAACAATTAGTTTGTATCACAATCAATTTGATGATAATAAACGTTTAGTTTTAACCCAATGTAAGTATTAATTGTTGGCAACAATTTAAATTAATTAACTGGACAATTAATTGATTGTGATAGATAATTATTGTTATTATATGGACAGAAAGTTGGTCTCGTTAATTGTTGATGGTGGTAATTTATTAAATTCAATCTTAATCACTGGACCTTCAATAATATTGAGATTAAAAGATGATTCATTAAATTGGGTAAGATGATTAGTTAATTATTCTGAGTAACAATTAACCTTGCAATCTAATTGTAGACTTCAGGGAGCAATATAACAACAATTAACAAGTGGACAAAACTGATGAAAATAAACTTAATATAACAACAATTTATGGTAAAAAATCACCGGCGGGTAAGTGATTAACTAAATTGGCTACAATTTAATCATTAAACTGATTGTTACCTCTCTCTTTTTTTGTATTTAGTTAATCAACCTGATTCTGATTTTATTGTTCCTCATGAGATTATCTTATCGGGAACAGTTGATGGACCTGAATATGGATTAACGGATTTACCAAGTGATGAGTTAATTGTCATCAATTCAATATCGTTAACAAAATTGAACCCGGAAAGTTATCATGATATTGAATTTAAAGTGAGCTTGATTAATCAACTAATCTAATTCATTGATAATCAATGAACATCACCAACTAGACTCATATCGAATATCATATTTACAAAGTTCTTATGCTCGTAAAGGTTAATTAGAGTGATTATCAATTAGATTTCTACTGAAAACTGAAATCGAAATGTGACAAAAAAGTATCGGACGAACTTCCATCGACGGAATAGTGACCTTTTCAGTCGAGTGTTAGTTCTGAGAGATGCCGAAAAGCGACTCAGTTGACCTGAATAATATTTCCAGCGATTCTTATATTGACCAACGAATATAAAATTCCTAAAGACTTTTAATTGCGTAGTAATCAGCGTAGGGAATTGTGGTCACAGGCCATTCTTTGAGTTCCGACTATTCCCGTTTTCCTTGATTGTTTAAGGTAAATTAACTTGATTCTTTTTAATTAGCCACCAATTGGCTTGGGATGTCCATCGTTGGTTGAGGAGACTAAATTGTTTCCACAATTGTTTAATTCTCAACAATTAAGCTTCAAATCAATTGAAACATCATCTAAATCAAGTGAGGAGCAAAATAAAATTAATATTGAGGTTTGTTTAGTAATATAATTAACTAATTGTTTGTTTGGGGTTAATTGTATTTTGCTTTTGTCTTTTCATTTAGATTTACGCTAATTGGGATAAAATTATCACGATAATTAATCCAATTATCAATGATCAGAATGTTAATCACAATCAGTCTACATGTTCTGTGTCAACAATTAACTCGGATGATTATTTAAATCAAGTTAATCAACTATTCTGGATTAAAGATGATCTCAAGTATAGAGGACAATTCCCATCGGTTAGTAATTAACTAATTAACTCTGAGACAATTAACTAATAATTTAAAAAAATTAAAGTTTCAGGGAGAATTGGAAACTTGGGAATCAACTAATTACGAGGAAACAATTAACGGAATTAAATATGACAGAGTTAATATAATTCATATGTTACAAAAGGTAAATTGTAACAATTAATTAATCCAACTAATTAGTTAACATATTTGATCATTTTTTTTCAGGTTAATTCAACAATCAACTTGACTAATTACATCCTAATCAATTCAACACGAACTATTTATAATGAAGTTTACCTGGTAAGTTAATTACCATTAATCAGATGAGAATCACTAATTGTTAATCGTTAATTTATCTCTTCAAATGTACCAGGGTCAATACGATTTAATTGAATCACAAACTCGTCAGGTATTAAAATTTGATACGATTACAACAATTAACCAAACAATGGAACAATTAACAGTTAATTGTAAACACTGAGATGAAATTAAAAAATTAATCGAAAAAAAATAAGTTAAATCAAATTATCTCTCTAATATGATTTAATTGATTTTCCTTGATCATCATCGTTTCTTTTTGATTCAATTGATTGTTTGGATTAACTTTCAATATCCTTGATAAGATTGAAATTGATTCTCGGCCTCGACATCAATTAATTTCTACAATTAACTTTGCAAATTAAGGATAAGTTAATCTGAAATTGTTAATCGAAACCTGAAATTAGATTAACTAATCAGAAATATAATATTTTCATTGATGATTGAATATGAGATGAAAATATTTAATGATTGTTAATCATAAAAAAAATGTTTATATGTACAAATATCGAGATGAATTAACTTCGTCTTTCTTTTTGTGGAAAAGTTAATCAGATGATTAACACCAATCGATGATTCCTCTTTTTAATTGTTCTCTTGATTTCTTTTAGTTGTAGTTTTTTTTCTGGTTATTTGTCATCTTCTTCTTCTTCTTATTGAATCTATTGTGTAGTAGTGAGTTGGCTTGTTATGGGATCTCTTTGTTTCGGTAAACAGGTTAGACTATGATGACGATGATGATGATGACGGAGGGATAATTATAATTGAATATTTGATGATCTCTTGAAAGGATTGATAATATATCCACAACACGGGAGTTATAGTTGATTGTTGTTCAATTGGTTAGTGGATATTAAGATGACAGAGCTTGATGAAAGTGGGAGATATATTGGTTAAAGACAATCAAGTGTTGATGATAAAATCTAAGTTTGGCCTGTTGATTAGTGAAACAAAAGGTTTTGTTTACTTCTAATCATCATTATTATTATTACTGGACGATTGTTGTTGTGATATTATCCCTTTAATCACAATATTGCCTGTAGTTGTTGTTGTTGTTGTTGTTGTTGTTGTTGTTGTTGTGGTTGTGGTTGATGATGTAAGACGCTGAGATGGTGTAGATATTTTAAATTAATCTGGGTCATGGCTGATTCGGTAAGGAAATGAGCTGATATCTTCCACTTTCTCAAAGGGAGAAGACAAAGATGATACTGGAAAGAGAGGGGAGAGAGAGAGAAGAAGACGAGCAAGAATAGAGAAGAAATCAAGATGGATTGGATCAATTGGAAATTGGAATCATTCAGTAAACTTGATTGAAACGGAAAGTGGGTGAAAGAGGGTAAAGTGGAGGTGTTAATATGTATAAAGAATAATAAAATAATATAATTGAGGGAAAAAGAAGAAGACGGAAAGGAAAGGAGGGGAGAGAGAGAAAAGATTTTGGCTGGAAAAATGGTGGACAAAAAGAAGAGAAGAAGAAAATAAAGATGAATTGAGATGGTTGATTGTAATTTCTTCTTTTTTGTTGAATTGTGAAGACGACGATAAGATGAAGTGTGTTGGTGACAAGGATGACGAGGGTGATGATAAGTTGATGATCATTGACTTCTTTCATTCCATTTCAGTTATATTTATATTAATATATTTTCTAATTTTTTTTTGTTGAAATAAAAGAATGTAAATTGTTGTTGTTGATGAGGATGAGGATGATGATGATGGTGATTTAGCTTATAATTGGACATGATGGTAAACAACTCCAGTAACTTCCGTTTTCTTCATGTTCAAGTCAGTAATCTGAGTTAATCAGATGGTGATTTAGTTAAATTGTAAAAGGCCTTTCAACAAGTTTAACTTGAACATTTAAAGACAACAGGTTACTAACCACAAAAGCACAAGATTGGACAAGACTAAAGGTTAGTTAATGATAGTCATAACTCTGGTCTCAGGGTAGATTTAAACAACCGGTCAGTTGATCCATCATCCATTTGTAAATATATGTGAGTGTGAGTGATGTTTGTTGATACCCATTGATTGAATGTTTTGTGTTGTATTAAAAAAAAAGATGATTAAATTGTTTGAAAATTACGTAAGTAAAATTATATAAAAGTTTAGAGTTGGTAAATTAAATGCTCCATAGTAACAAAAGGTATAACAGCAAAAAAAAATTCTCAAATCTTTTACCATAAATACGTTTCCATTTTAACAAACGATAAAATTAGAACTTATTTACGACAAATGTTGGAAGGATAATCACAATAATCTAAAAGAAAAAAGAAATAAAAATAATAACGGAAAAAGAAAAACAGAGAAAAATTTAGAAAAATTTAGAAACAAAGAAAATAAAAGTAAATCGAATTTGTTTTTTATTCTTTTTCGTTGCTTAGCAACCAAACGAACGTCAGGTGATCGGGTTGACTCATTTTCTCTTTTCACTTATTTTGTTAATTACTTTTTCTATTTTTTCCCTCTGGTTAATTGTTACTATTTATCTTTTTGTTTTCATTTTCTCTTTTGACTTGAGACTTTTTTTCTTTTTCTTCTTCTTCTTTCGTTTTCATGGTGAAGTGATTAAGGAACATTTTCCATTGTTAATTTTGTGCGAAAATTGTGTGGGAATTGGTTAGTTGCGAGTCAATCACAATTTCCATCATCACAAATGATATCATCAACCTACGGTTCTTATCTGTTAATTTTTCGCATCAATTGTGAGAGAACCTGAAATTAGCTTAATTTCTACAATGTAATCATGGATACCAGGAAATCAAAGGAACCTTAATTGTTGAGAATTTCTCCTCAATTCATAGTCTTTCGCCCGCTCTTTCTCATTTCAAGTGTAAGTTAAATATTCTTTTCTAAATGTATGTAAAAATGTAATAACCAACACTTCTTAATGACCTTCCTATATATTGATAGCTTTTTATTTCATTTATTCTCTGTAGGAAATGGATAATCTTTCTTGTACAAATGGCCATGTTTAATTTCAATTCAAATCCGTCAACCACATCACAATAATCTGAATGGTGTTTAACCTTGTTTATCGTAAAAACGACAACTAATTGTTAACAATCAAAGTAAATCGACTTGAGAAAAGAAAAGATATTAACCGGTAAACATGATGAAAATTTTTTTTTCTTCTACAAACATTTTATCCAATTGTTTACATCAACCAGAACATTAATCATCATCATCATCATCATCATGTTGGAACAATTTGTTATTTATCAGTTTAAACTTTTCTCTCTCTCTCTCACACACACACTTTTGATTAATCAACCTTGCGCTTTGTATTTCATAAGTATGAGGTTGATCTCGTTCATTTCAATGATAAATAGTTAATCAAAAGGTAGTTGATGATGATATTCATACAATTCAATTGTATTGTGTGTGTATTTTGTATGTTTGTGTGCTCATTTACATGAACATTTTACGATCTGATATAAAGTGTTAATCAAATCATTATTATATTAAGTTTTATTTTCCTTTGTCTCAAGAGACGTGGGAAATCAGGTTACATTAATTTATCGAAAAATGATAAATTAATTAATTAATTTACTTCGCCATCTCTTTTATTTCACTAATTCTCATTCTAATTACTTTTTTCTTTGTCTTCTAGATTTCTCAATCAAATTCTGTTATTTGATCATCTTTAAGTCTCACTTATTATCTGAGGACGAGCAACAAATGAAAAGATATTAAAAACCAATGTTGACAATTTAAATTGGAGAATCCAACTAACTAATCTGATCTAAATAATTTGGATCTCAGTTCCATGATTAATTATCGTACATAATTATCAGAACATATCAAATTTTATCTACCCTTTTTGAAACTTGATTTGGAAAGTGAAAGTCATTTTAAGGATTTGATTTCTTTCTTTGATTATTCTTCTTCTTGATTTCGATTAATATGTAATCGTGGGAAGTGAAACAAGGTGTATATATATATATGCGTGTGTGTATATTTGTTGATTACACACTTATTGATTTTATCGATTGTAATACTAACCATTTCCAGAGACACAAGGACAAGCGTCAACATAAAGGTCACCCTTAATTTGCGCCAAAGTACAACGTTCACCTCTTTGAGCTCGATTTTGACAACTTCGAATTCCCGATTCACGATTTAATAAGCAACATCCTGATTCACAATCATTACTGTATGAACAAATATCACCCAATCCACGATGAGTCTAAATTAATGGTATAAAAAAAAAGAGCAAACGAAAAACAATTTAGTAAATTGTCCATCAGCAATAATCATGTTCCATTAAACCAGAATAACAATAGAGTCTGAATTTTAAATTTGGACTTAAAATTGGAACCTTAATTACATCGATTATGATATTAAGGTAAACAGAGAATAAAAGTGAAAAGTGACAAAAGAAAGATCAATTTGGGAAACAAATATCAGCCAATTCTCATCATCATCATCATCATCATCATCATCAACAATATCACGGAAACGGTTTTAATTCTAATTGTAAAGATGATTACAATTCAATAAGTCATTCAACAAGGAAATATCGTTCATCTTGTTAAACCACAAACTGACCATCAGCTTTAACCATCTTGTCTCATCATCATTCAAACACAATAGCTTCTGTACAACCTTAAAGTAGGCCATCATCATCATCATCATCATCATCTTTCTAATTGATGATGATTATGATTAAATGATGATGTGGTTTACTCTAAATTAATATCAAGCTAATAAGCGATGATAATCAACCTAAATGTTAAAGTAATCAAAGGTAACTCCAAGGTGAAAGTAAACTAACAACAAATCATGTAGCGCTGATGATTTAACTAATAATTAGCAAATATTAATAATAGAAAATAACTTTTTTCTCTTCTTACCTTTCTAGGTGTGTCATCCATAGGATGTTGCATCATATCTGGATCTGACCAATCGATACCATCATTGGAGGGAATATAATAAGATTTTTTGTATAAATATCTCAAAGGTTTCTTATTGAATTGGTTCTTGGGCTCAGTTCGTTGGGCTCGATGACCATCCCAATAACTTTGAATCAATGGAAGCGTAACCAAAACCAGGAGAACAAGGGTAAATAATGATGAATTCATGATTTAATTGTTGTGAAAAGTTAATTGAAAAGCACGGCAACAGTTATAAACCAAGTTACAAAATCAAGTGAAAGTATATGATTAACGTTGGATAACTAACTCGAGAAGTGTAGGATTGATGTGACTCTCAATTTTTCAGGTTATAACTCACAGAATGGAAAATTGTTCAACCAATGAAGACGAAGAAGATTAAGAAGAAGATGATGATGATGATTAACAGCTATAATCAAACACTGACAAGTTTTTAGCTTGCCACTTATTTGTTGTTGAAGACTGGGAGACGTTTAATCGACAACAATTAAATATAACTTGGAATATAACAAAGTAAAATAATTATTTTTCTTTCTTTTTTCACAGATTAATTGATATTGATATTAATTCTTACAGAGGATTAACTTTTCGGTGGACAGGTAACTGGTCAAGGTGATTCGGATTCTAAATTGTTTATAGTTCAAAGGTGTTTCTCTCAACGCAATCTTATTTAAAATAACCAAGGGATCTTCAGGAGACTATCAATATATTTATGCTTTTCCTCGTCTACTTTTCTCACTCTCACTCTCACTTTCTCTCTCCATCACACTTTCTCTCTCTCTTTCTCTCTCTCTCCTTGGTTATCATGAAAACCGAATTTTCTGGTTTTTCTGGTTTTACTCATTTCGTTCATCTTTCTTTTTCCAATTTTTTCGTCTTCTTCATCATCTGTTGATTGTATTCACTATTTTTCGTAGTTATCATCTTCTCTCTCCCCCTTCCACATATAACATCCTTGGTTCTTACTCTCTCTCTCTCTCTCTCTCTTTTTCTTACCTTGTTTTCTTTATGAAATTAACGAATTGTTTATGTTTTCTTCAGGATGATGATAATGAAAGAAATTGGAAAAAGATGATGAGAAATGAGATTAATGATAATTTTCACTGATCTTATTTTCTCTTTCTAGTTATATAACCAATAACAATTATAATAATTTCTGGACAAAGTAATCGATCATCTGAATCCATTTTTTTTATCAATTACGATGGTCAGTTGATACAATTTTTCCGATTGCTCGTCAGCCATTCAAATGAATATTTGGATTCAATATAATCACGATGATTACTAAATGATCTTCAAATTTAACCACCTTAATTGATTAACTGAGAAAGCAGAACAAAAAAAATCACTGTTATAAAAAGGTAAACAAAATAATCTTTCAATTGTTAAATTGATATTTGATTAACTTATTTGAAACTTTGTTTTAGACTCAATCATTCATTGATTGTATTACAATCATTAATTATGATGATAATTAATTGATAGGATGATTTGATTACAAGTTTAATGTAAAGTCCAAGTGTAGGTAAGATTGATTTTAAATGATTACATTATTATCATGTATTCATTGAATTGTTAGTTTACATCTATACTGACCTGACCAGGTCAGAACCTTTATTGTCAATAACTTGTTATTTACCTGTTGATTTTAATTTACAATCAAATTAATGGTTTACTATTATTATTATTATTTTACATGTAGGATGGTGATTAAATTATCACTCAATGGTGGTGATTGTCGATACGCTTGTAACCTTGTATAATCTGTTGGCTACCAAATCGTTGATTGATTGTTGTGACCATGTTATTGCACTCGTCCGACCTGAAGAGACCATCATTTATCATCTATTATTAAATCAATTGAATCAATTGTGTTTAAATTGATAAACGATTGATTGAACATCGGCCTTTGATACCGGGATATAAATATTGGTATTGGTCATTACAATGACCCTTTAGATGGATATTTACAATCAATAAGGTGATGCTAATGGTTAATTATCTTTTAAAATGTTTTCCAAAAAGATGATGGTGATGATGATTTCACCAGAATAAAAAACGATAAACACTCAGGTGAAAATGGCGAGAAACAAAAAATTCTAATTGACCTTTAATCGTATCGTGGTCATCGTTACATTTTTCCCTTTAGATTAACTTTGATGGTATTATAACAATCAAACATCATTTTACCTGAATGATGATCAGAAACAGTTCATGAAAATTTAATTTATTGTTTTCTTTTTAATCTTATATTTCTTTTTCAACAATCAACACAATTAAGGAACTGTTGATGAATCCAGTTGATTAATGGGTAACAGATTAATCATTTCAAATTATTGGAATCAAATTAGTTTTCTTATTCGCTTAAAGCAACTAATTACTTTCGATTAGCAAATACAAATATCAAGGTGCTAAATTGTCGACGTTTTTTCAGGGTGACAATTAATCAACAATCTAAATTATTCATTAAAACACCAAGAAAAATCAATCTCGGTCAATCGGTATGTTTATTATTATTATTGTTTCTAAATTGTTAATTATATTCTGATCACATTCTTGTTACAGTTAATCATTACTAATCATCTATTTTTATTTTCAGGTCTCATCATTTCCAGTTAGTTAATTGTCGAGGTCAGTTTTTTATAAATCAATCATCTGGACGCGTTAATCATTATCATATTTATGCCAATCAAATGATTTTGCTTTAAGATGAAGGTTAATCTTGTTGGTGGAAGAGCAATTTTTGGTTGATTGTTGGATTGTTAATCACGGGAAACACCAGGAAAAGGAAATCAAACTTAATCAGATTTGTGAACAATTAAGTGTGAAACAATCAACAAGGGAAAATAAACTACAATCATAATCAAATGTTTGATTGAGTAACAAGGAACTTACTTAATCCGGTTAATCTTATTAAACAGATAATTGGTATTTCCGTTAACTGGATTGGATTATTAATCATCAAAGTGAAATATCATTTAAATTGCTCAATTAAAGTTTAAATCTTTAATTGATATTATTTACCAACTGATTGATGCCTTCAAGTTGTTGCGTTGCTTTTAAATTGTATCATTTAAATCAGACTAATCAACCAATAACAATCAACCAAATCACTGGACTCGAGGTGTTATTACACTTGATTGCATTCAATCCTGATTCATGGACAATTCAAATGAATTTTAAATAATTGATGATAATTGATGATAATCCGCTGATTGGTTGATAATCTCAGATCTAATTCCCAAAGTGACCATCGACTGACCAGAAATCATTTACCATTTATTATTACAAAACCTGATAATTAATTTTCTCAATCATCACCAATCCTGAATCATAAACAAAAGGATTATATTACTTTCACTTGATTGCAAGGTTAACAAATTTAATCACAATTAATGATAATACTTTCGCAATGCAAAATCATGAAATGGTTAATTATTCATGTAACGATAATATCTGATGACAATTAGCTTGATAATCTAGTGCTTGTGGCTAATTATAAACATTAACTTGACCATTGGAATAACTGGAATATTAATACACCGAGAGAGAGAGAGAGAGACCGTTTAACTAGGAAAACATGAATTTCTTCAACAATTAACCAAACAAGTCTCAAGGATTTTTGATTATTTAATCTGTCAACACAATTAATTGTTATATCAATGAAAGAAATGTTAACAATAACAACAACAATACACCAAGAATATCATATATACATATATTTGTCACAAGGACTGTAAACGATAATCTCTTTTCAGATTATAAAATGACTGAGCTATAATTAGCTAAATTGTTAATGGTTTTGCTAGAAAGCAACAATTACGATGATTAAGATTCATGATAATTTATGAAGATAACAAAAGTTAAATTGTTAAACAAATTACAATTGTAAAAGGTTAAGGTTCTTGAAGTCAGCGCCATGTTGATCAATACAAGTTTCCATCATCATCATCATCATCAAGAAAACATAATCATGAGGGTCACTAAACTGTTCAATCATGAAACAATTTAATAATAACAATTTATAATCAAAGAGTTGAGATGAACTCGAATCAAATTAAACATCAACATCACTTATCCCATAATAATAATAACACAAAGAGAAAAGTATTAAGAAAAAAAAGTCAATGTCTATTAATCAATGGACAAGTTTAATTATGTTCGATGACCTTAATTCAATCGTGCTGATTAATTGTCCAAAGTGATCAACAATCAGGATGATATTTGATTGATATCAGGTTAATAAAACAACTTTCACTTAATAGTAACTGAATCAACTACAAGCCAGAGATTGAGATAACATTGACCTTTAACAATTAAATTGCGAGCTTTAATAACCAAAAAAATAAAGAAAATGATTAACATAATCATTAAATTGCTCCAAGATCAATGGCATCATATTATCATTAAATCATCTTAATCATAATGATTATTAATTCACAAAGATTTAATCATCAAGTGAAACAAATATTACAATGTTTTTAATCAATTGTAAAGGTGAAACTTAAATTAACTTGTGATATTAATTATGTTGATAACAATTAACGTTTTTTACACGATCGATTTCATAACCTCCCATGTTAATTGTTATGATTTTTATTCATCATTCAGAGTAAATAGCCTGAGGCCACAGGCCGTTTACACCGCCATTTAAAACGTACTACGCGTTAACAGTAAAAGGGAAAAAGTTATATAACCTGTTGATCGCTTGGGGCAATTAACTTTCTCTTTCTCATCTCTTTTAATTTATTTCTTTTACTTTTATTCTAACGAAACAATTAACTAATCTGAATGAACTTTTCTCGTTATTAATCATAAATGATTAACTGATTAACTGATTAGCTGATTAACAAGACAATCAACTAACAAATCGGATCGATCCCTTGAGAGCTTATTGACTATTAAAACTTTGTTTCTTTGTTTATAACTTTTATCAATTCTGTCAATCAAACAATTTAGTTAACAATTAATCGTTAATTTATCAGATATAATTAACAAAGTTCATTGATATTTTTTTTTTCATGGTAACAATCATCATCATGTTAATCATGTTGCAATCAAGTTAAGATTTAAAAACAAAAGGTTGATACGTTATGTTAATTGTTGATGTTTCTGTTTTTTTTTCTTCTTCTTAATTGTTGATTAACAGAAAAAGTTAATTAACATGATAAAGAGTGAAAGTTAATGATAAATTATAAAAAAGGTCACTAGACTTGAGAAGATTCATCTTAATCTAGAAAAATCTGATTACAAGTTTATTTTTATATTCAAACTTAATGTTTCAGGTTCATTCATTGATTGTTAACAATTAAAATGAAACCAGTTTTCAATTTTATTCCGATGATTATGATTAACTTGATGAGATCAAATTAATCATGATTAACTTTCTATAAATACTTTGGATGTCCAAGGATTTTTTATTCACATCGATTATATCTAAATTGTCACTTTAATCATGATCATTGATTTGAAGAGTCGTTTTTATAAACAATCTAATTACTGTGGGAAAATTGATTCAGGTTAATTGTAACAATCAGTTAAATGGATAAAAAAAAGGTAACAATTAATATTGCGAATGATTAATTACACAATTAGTACGATTCACGAATTTTCGTGCAAAGATTGTAAAAATCATCTAAAGGGTTAAGGTCATACAAAGAGCATCATTCATAAGTTATTGAACATTTGACCCGAAAAAAAATGGAGACCATTTCGTGAGGGTCAAGCAAAGGGTAAAGGTAAAACTGACCAATCCAAAAGTTGAACAGGAGACGATCTTAGGACTACAGGATCTTGGACATTGATGTCACCTGAGATTTTGTACAAAGTAATCTTCAAATGACCTCCAAATGTATTCCTATGCTATTGGCCTTGAATAACCTTGACCTTAGTGCGAAACGAGCCCCTAGGGCATATAAGGTGATTTCCCAATAGTAAAAGTCTTTGTGATATTTAGTTGTGGAGTTAAAGGACAATCGGTTTATGGGTAATCAATTTAATTGTTATCATTGAGAGTTGATCTTATTAAACTAATCAAATTGTGATCAAAAATCGATCCCAACAATTAAATATTAAGTTAAGGATTAATTGTTGTTTGTATTTTATTGATCAACAGGAAAAATCAATCGGATTACAACTGGATTAGGATAATTGTTGTTTAGTTATTATGGAAAATGTCAACTGAAGGTTAATTAAACAATTGATTGTTTCCAACTCGATTTGAAACAATCAGTTAATTGTTGATGATTTACAGATGGAAATATGGTTTGGATCCCTAAAAGATTAGTCAAACTGTCAATGTTTCAATTAATCTTAATTGTTATTATCATAAATTGTTCGTTTACTAATGAATGAGAATTAGCAACTGTTTATTAATTGTTATCAAGAGATCGAAACAATCAGTTAATTGTGTTGCTAACAAAATACTGATCACAATATTAGTTGAAATCTCATCGAAAGTGTATTAAGTTAACCATTTACATTTTCGCAATTTTTTTTTGTTTCTTATTGTTTAATTGTGATTGTTAATTTCTTGCCCTTCAACAATTAACAACAATGGCCGCAATGATTGACGGTAAATCATTTTCTGGTAAAGTGGTAATTGTAACTGGTAAGTAATTAACTTAATCATCTTACATATAAGAGGGTAAACAAAATGATTAAGTTGCTTTTTTGTATTTAAATGTTTCTATTTTTAGTTGAAATTAAATTTCTTAATGGTAAACAAAACAATTAACTTAATTATCCTTTTCTTTTTGGTTAAGGTTCCAGTTCTGGCATTGGTGAAGTGAATGCAATTCATTTTGCCCGATTAGGAGCTTCGGTTGTGGTTACAGGTCGAAATCAAGAACGGGTCGAGAAAGTGGCCAACGAATGTCGGAAATTCAACACAACCGACCAATCAAAGGTAAAATCAATTAGAAGATTAAATTAGTTGATTAACTCAGATGAATAGTAATTCGAAATTGATTTTTTTTTGGTTCTTGTTCGAAATTGACCTTTAATCGTTCAGACGCTTGGTGTAGTTGGTGACATTTCGACCGAAGACTTTTGTCAAACTCTAATTAACTTGACAATTAGTGAATTTGGTCGAATCGATGTTCTTGTTAACAATGCTGGTATTTCCAGTGCAGTTGCGATTGACGAACCTGCGGACAAATTTTTCACCGCTTTGGACAATATTTATCGAACTAATTTACGAGCTGTTTTGTACCTTATTCACTTGGCAACACCTCATCTAATTGCGAGCAAGGGAAACATCGTCAATGTGTCCAGTTGTGCTGGTCAACGTCCAGTAAGTATTGATAATAATCACATAGAAGAAAAAGAAAAGTTCATTTCGATATTCATTTGCTTCGTCGTAGTGGGAAAAAGGTACAGCCTATTGTTCATTGAAAGCTGCTCTCGACATGACGGTTAAAACACTCACCTTGGAATTGGCACCTAAAGGTGTTCGAATCAATAACGTCAGGTAAGCAAATGAATTGAGTCGCTGATAGAGTAAGCGATTAATTAATTGGTTCATTCGTCGATTCTAGTCCAGCCTATGTGGAAACGCCAATGTTATCCGATGGAATTGAACATCTCATGCCGGAGATAAGACAAAGAGTCTCAGAGAAATATCCTCTCGGCAGAATTGGACAAAGTGAGGATGTTTCGAACGCCATTGTTTTCCTTGCTTCGGAAATGGCCTCTTTCGTTTGTGGTTCTTGTCTTCCGGTTGATGGTGGGTCGTTGGATGGTTCATACACTCATACTCCACCTGAAATCATGAAATTGATTATAAGATAATCAATTCAGAGAGGGAGAGAGAGAATTGATTCCCCAGATAATTGAAACATTGATCTTTAATCAATGTTTTCATCTATTCATATATAATTACATTTGATTGATTCTCAATAAAGATTCAATAGTTATCTATTAAATTGTCTTGGTTAGTTGATTATCGATATACAAATCGTAGTATTTTTTCATTTAACAATTAAGTTTTTTTTTTCAAGAGACAATTTAACTTTGATTATCAAGTCTCCTGTTAATTGCAGACTAATTTTACAAGTTTAATAAACTTTTTTTAAGGAGATTTGGTTTGTCTTCAAATCAAAGTCAAAATAATGTAACAATTAAAGATAATTTTGACTATTTATCTGATTACTTTGAAAGATGAATCAACAATTAAACAAAGTGGACTATTAATTGTATCGGTTACAATTGATAACTCAATTGGTAAAAGTTTACTCCTTGCAATTTAAAAGTCACTTAATTAATTGTTAACTGTAACTTTTAGTGATCAAATTTTGATAAAATTAAATTGTTGTTTAACATCAGATTGATTGGAGTACTGATTGTTTAATGTTGACTCCATTGAATTGTCTTGATGTCGATTCCATCTTGAACCATTTCCCAAAGTGGACTCATCTCTCTTAGTCTATTAACATGATAGATACACTTTTCTACAGTAAAATCAACTTCAGCTTGGGTTGTGAATCGACCGATACCAAATCGGATTGAAGAATGTGCCAGATCCTCTTCAGCGCCAATAGCTCTCAATACATAAGAAGGTTCTAATGATGCGGAAGTACAGGCTGATCCAGAAGAAAGAGCAATATCTTTTAGAGCAACTAATAAACTTTCACCTTCGACACATGAGAAGGAAATATTAACACAACCGGGATAACTTGATTCTCGAGATCCATTGATAATAACTTCGGGAATATTGTCCAATATTTTGGTAATAAGTCGATCAGATAATTTTGAAATATGCTTGTGGTCATAGTCCATTTCTTGAGCGGCAACTTTACAAGCAGCTCCAAGGCCAACAGCCAACGGTGTTGGTACGGTTCCACTACGAAGTCCTCTTTCCTGACCACCGCCGCTTTGTAAAGCCTCAACTCGAACTCTAGGCCTACGACGTACGTAAATGGCACCAACACCTTTGGGCCCGTAAATTTTATGTCCACTGATCGACATTAGGTCAATGTTCATAGATTCAACATTTAACGGTATTTTTCCGATGGCCTGAGCAGCATCGGTGTGAAGGAAAACCTTTCTCTCCCTGCAAATGGCTCCAATTTCCTTGATCGGCTGGATTATGCCAATCTCGTTATTAACCGTCATCACGGAGACTAAAAGTGTATCTTTTGTGATTGCAGCTTCCAAATCTCTTAAATCAATAAGGCCTGTTTTCTGAACGGGCAGATAAGTTACTTTAAATCCATTATTTTCCAAATATCGACACGAGTCTAAAACACATTTATGTTCAATTTGTGTGGTGATTACGTGATTTTTTTTATCCTTGTAAAATTTGCAACTCCTTTAATTGCGATATTATTTGACTCGGTTGCTCCAGAGGTGAAGATTATTTCTTTCGGATCGGCACCAATCAAATGGGCCACATGAGCTCGAGCTTCTTCAACGGCAGCCTCACTTTCCCAGCCATATGAGTGTGTCCGTGAATGTGGATTACCATATAGAGAGACCATGTAAGGTAACATTGTATCTATGACCCTTGGATCCATAGGTGAAGTCGCTTGTACATCAAGATACAAAGGCCGTAAAGATGGAGTTTTTTTAGAAGAAGTTCCTAAAGAATATGAGTAAAAGAAAAACAAAAATTTAAGTCGCATTTAAAATCATATAGAATATAAGAGAAAAGGAGAGAGAGAGAGAGAAAAATGTAAAATCGATCATGTTGAATTGACAATCAATTCTTACCTTCCGAGGTTGAACTTGCACTTCGAGTAGATGAAACAATCAACCCATGTAAATGAGGTGATAGTAATTTCAATGTCAACGATCTAGTTGGAATTGTCAGAGACATTTTCACCGGTAAGAAATTAAATCAAGGTGGTGAAACAAACAGAGTGAGACAAAGATTGATGAGAAAATAAAAACCCTTCAAAAGTCAAAGAAACCCATGAAAATGGACCAACAGGAGGCAAAGAAACAAACACACCAACAAATGGTAATTAATCCGATTCAAACTAGAAATAGAAAATAGCAAAGAAACAAAGAATTAATAAATTATTTTCCAACAAAATGAGTCACAATAAATTCAATGTTAAATGTCAATGAGAATAGAAAATGAAAATCAATCAAAATACTTACCAAGATGAGAAGCGAAACCTTTAACCAAATAGAATTCAAAAAGCTTGTACAGTTCAATTAATCGATAATAAAACAAGAAATGAACAATCAACTGACAATTAACCGAGAAAATTAACCCGAAACAATTAAGAAAAATGAAAACAGAAAATTACAATTAGTCAAATGCGTCACATTGCATCACAAAGAGAGGAACATGTGAGACAAAACCGATACATCGATGGTAAAAAATAACCGAAAAAGAAACGAAATGAAACAATTAAATTCTCTTAAACATGAGGGCCATAAATTAATTCTAATGAAAAGAACCAAAAAAAGAAAATTAATTAACCGGAATGATTTAATTATGGTCAAGAGAGAAAAAGAAAATTAAAAAATGAAATTAAATTGAAGGAGAATAACATAAAAGTAACATTACCTCTCGGTAGATGGAAACAGTTTCTATGTCGAATTCTAATAGAAAACGAAAGTTACTCCATCAGGCGAACAAAATTTGAACTAATTTTCTTTTCATTTGTCATTTTTTTCCTTTAACTTTAATGTAGATTTTTAATTTAATTGTTATTGTGATCTTTTTGTAACAATTAAATTGTTATTCATTCCTTAAGTTTATTTAAATGTAATATTTTACTTATCGTTACTATCTACTGTTAATCAGTATTGTCCTTTAAACCCAAGGTCAACAATTATCATCATTCATCGTCACCAATCTAATCGGTATTAGAAATCATCTCATTTCTATTATGTTAATCACTTTTTGTTTTTTGATTGTTTGTTAATTAATCCAATTTCATGTTAATTTCTCTCTCTCTCTCTTTTTTATAATTCATTATATTTTCTATTATAATTTACCTATTTTTGTTCCTGTGTATTTGTGAGATTTTTTTTCTCCTCAAATTCTGTTTCAATTGTTCATTTAATTTTCTATTCTCTTTTTGTTGTTGTACATTTTTCTTTTTGTGGAATATTTTTTTTTCTCTCTCTCTCTCTCTCTCTTTCTCTTTTCTTTTGGTTTGAGATTTTCTTGTCTCTTTTTTTTGTAAGGTCAACAATTAAGTTAATTTACTTCTTCTAATGTAATAGAGAAAAAGAGAAAGAAAAGATTTATTGTTTGTTGTTAGTCTTCTCTCCATTTTCAATCTCCTTCTTTCCTCTCTCTTTCTCTCTCCCTATTTTCGTTTTGATGATTCTACGTTTCCTTGTCTTTTCTCTTCTTTTTCCTCTGTGAAAACCAAGAAATTTTCAACAAAACGGGAAATGGAACCAACAAGTCCATCATCCTCTTCGTCTTCAATATATGCTTCTCATCACCAACAACAACAACAGCAACACCAATCATCTTACTATCAACCATTTTCTCATTATGGTTATCCTCATCAGCAATTTTCTCATCAACCACAGTATTCACATCATCATCATTCCTATTCATCTATTCCATCTTCATCCCAATTACCAAATTCAACAAATATTCCAACAACAATCGGTGATTCTCCAGTTCGTATTGGTGATACAATTGCTCTATTTGTTGCTCAAGGTAAAGTTCAAGGTTTCCTGACAACCCTTGATTCAGTTGATGAAAGAGCAGCGGTCACTTGTGATGGTAATTTAACTGAGACACCATCCAAAATGAGAGATTACCTTTATCGTATCTGTATTGCTGGTAAACATGAAGCTCAACAAGATTTTCAAGAAGCTCGTCTACGTGATCCAAGTAACGAATCAAGGTTGGCAACATTGAAAGTTTATGCAACCGATGAGAAGAGAGCCAATGAAGAGGAGAATCGTTCACGTCGTGGTGAAATACTACATTATGGTGATGTTATCCAGTTATTAAATTTAAAAAATAATAAATATGTTACCGCTTTCACCAAGATACCTGCTCAATTGGATCCATCAGCATGGAGAGTTTCACTTGACCGTGATGGTAATGATAATTCACATTTCCGGGTTACCGATTGTCTCAAATTTCGTGGAAATGGTGAACAAGTTACCTATGGAGATGAGATTTTTCTTGTCTCAGTGACCGCTGCTCAACGTTTACATGCCTCTAATCGGGAGCATTCAGATCACAAAGGATGCTTTGAGGTGAACATTTCAAATGCCTTTACCAGTTGGAAGATACTTCTTTACCTTGATTACCGTGAAAATCTTGAAGGTTATCTCAAAGCTGGTGATGTTTTCCGTCTCTTTCATTCTGAATCTGCTCGATATTTGACTTTGGACGATTTAGAGGAAACCGTTAACGATGGTGGTTGTAAAAAAAAGGTTGTGTCACAAAAAGTGTTCCTTAGGTATACCGCTCGAACCGAAGCAACGTCAGCAACTAGTTCTAAAGCTCTTTGGGAGGTTGAAATACGTCAAGGTGAAGTGCCTCGAGGCGGTTTAGCCCATTGGGATTCAACTATACGATTTAAACATTTATCAACAGGTAAATATCTTGGTTTGGCTCCTGACCCATTAGCTGAACCAGGATCAAGCCAATGGTATCTTGTACCATCGTCAACATATGATGATAAAATTGAATTTCGTCTACATCCAACTCGTGAGGTGAACATTGGTGATTGTGTTCCCCATAAATCATTTGTTCGTATTCTTAATCAGTCAACACGTTCATGGTTACATCATACTAATGATTTTTTCGATGCAAATCAGAAAAAGGATAAAGATCAAGCAATTCTTTACATGTCCAAAGTGATCGCTGTTCAAAAAAATGGAAACAAAGAGGTTTTCCAAATAATTCCAGTCTCTTTCTCTGAAGTTCGTGATCTTGATTTTGTTAACGATGCTCATCGTTTCCTTAAAACTGCCGTTGAAAAATTGAAAG